CGTATCAACCAAATACAAGTTAGCACAAAAGAAAAGACACAAATCAAATTAACAAATAACAAATACTAGTGCGATCAAATCAAGTTAAATTCAAATTGCGCAAATACAATTACTACTCTTTAGTTCAAATACAAATTACAGTATAAACGAAGATACACATCACAGTCGATCAACAAAAAATGCCTAGCTCGGAAATCGACCCTTCGATAAGTAATCCACTACAACTATCCGACAACGATAATTAACCGATTACGTAAAAATAACCATCTACCTACATGACGTATATCTCTAGAAAAACTCCCGCTTGCGCAACCTAGGCCGCGGCTTTTCAAACTACCTACTAACCAACAAACAACAATGGGAAATAATTCTATTATTACGTACAAAAAAATATTTTTACGTATTACGGACGGGCGTGATTGTAGATACAAATTAAACCAATCAAACCAACGCTCCCTGCCATTAGATTTGTTTAATTTTTATCAAACACTATGGTCGGGATCGACCGGGGAATCGAACCCGGAACCGCGCTCTGCTACCAGTTTGTTACGGCCTACGGCTGCTCCCTTAAAGGATCAGATCCTCAGGGGCCCATGAGCTGAAGACTTCCCGAGCAGACGTAGGTCGAGCCTCAATGTGGCCACGTGGAATCTCTCTTATTACACTAAAATATATGGGGGAGCGTTATAGTACGGCCAGTCAACCGGAAGGAATTTGGACGAAGCTTACTTACCTATATCCAAGGCGACTGGTCCCTCCGGAGTCGGTCAGGTCGCATGTGGTTGTGTAGTGCAAGGGAAAGAATGATGATGTGGTGTGTATCTGGGTGTGACTGATGGTGATTGAACCTACACCTTAGCCGTCGGCAGCAGCCCGGGCGTCGACACCGCTCCAACTTGAGGGGGCCTTCCGAGGCTTTGTCCACATTCACTTTCCTTGTTCGTCACGATAACAGTCACTTAACTCTATCGTACGATTAACTAACTTACAGAAGCCACTAACTATCGCTGGTTATAAGGTTACCGCCCAAAACGCGCACGGATTTTCTGGGTCAAAGGTCACTACCGTTTCGCGTTGCAACAGTTAGTTCTAGAATACAGAGGCCGCACTAGCTAATATTGTCGAATGCACTTATACAGATTCTGAGTCGGACCCAATAAGTCCCGGGGAAGCTCTCCAGTAGGGATACGCGCCACAAAATTCCTAGACCGTATTTTTACTGTCCGCGCTTAATTATTTCGAGTTTCCGCGCTTAATTGGCAGCGTGCCAATCGTGAGCACTGCCTAAGGACGACTGACTGCCCTTGGGCGTTTTTCGCACGACCGAAAGTCAAACCGGTATGAATGCACCGCGCCGAGCGCCCTCTCGCGTCAATCCTTGAAAGTGTTTTGCGCGAACAATATAATAACCCATTTTTATATACAAGAAAGTGTGAGACGTTCATAAAACCAGCAGTAGAGAAGTATTATGATTTTGTATAATGAGGGAAGAGAAACGGATCCATTTTTAGTGGAACCGAGGCTTTATGTCTAAGTCCGCAGGGCTGACAATGCATTTTAATACTTTTTAAAGGGGTACAGCGGCTCTAGTAACCTGGCCTGCAGCAGAAATAAATCGGTTAGTGAACTTCTATACACATAAACTAATACCACACCTCGTTAGGTGCGGGAACAACGAAATGGGCGTGACGCCTGAGACTACTCAAAGCCCGTCTGTCCTCTCTCAAAAGAATGGTCCCAGTCTTGACACCCATCATGAGTGGACTGTAACTTTTCTTGAAGTGTAGTTGGAAATAAAACATCGATTTATATTCGTAATTTTCCCCTAAGACTGCGACATTGAAAACTTTCACTATTTTTTCCTATTACTTTCTCTAATATCTTTTATCTTGATTTAAACTAGAAAACTAGTAGCTGGTCCCGAACTGTCGCGAACAAATTTCTATGTCGTATTCCTTGACTTTCCTTACAGTCCATCACTATGGACCGGTCCTTGGTGCCTTCTTGGCATTCATCATAATAAAAATGCAGCGGTCACGGGTTTGATGGGGTCACTCGTCCGGAAGGCGGGCGTGTCACGGCGCAAAGTTATTCAAATGGGGGTATGGCCCGTTTTATGCGCGGTTAAACATACACAAACTCTTCTATAGTTTCAATTTTCAGATTGGCCGCTATGACGTCATTCCGGACGTAGCAACCTAAACCAAAAATGGTCCTTAATGCTTGATTATGTTGGGACTGCAGTCTCAGGTTCTGCCGATCGCTCAGGAGCGCATACCAGGCCGGAACAGCGTAGGTAAATACAGGTCTTATGTATAATTTGTAGAGTTTCAGCTTCGTTTAGATAGATAGCTTGGATGCCAGGACGGGACGTAGCGCCGACCGCGCAACTCTTGCGTTGCGGACGACGGAATCGACGTGAGGGGTTATGCGCAGCATCCTGTCGATCCGGCGATGTCCTGGCCTCTGAGCGTTAGTGGCGGTTGTAGGTTTCTGAAGCGGCGAGTGAGCAGAGCAGTCGTCTTACCAACATTGAAGACCATCTTTTACTCATCTAGCCATGGTGGCAGCAGGTTCAACAGCTTTTGCTTCCTAGCAGTGGCGATTTGGGCTCTTCTGAACGAGATGAAGTAGGCGCTATCGTCCGCATATAGCGCCAGCTCTACGTTGTCCTCCCACTCGCGCAGATGTCCTTCCAGTGTTGGGATTTCGTTGGTGTAAGCCACGTACAGGACTGGAGACAGACAGCTGCCCTGTGGTACGCCGGTTCTGATAGGTCTTGCTGCAGACATGGCATTCTCTACACAGACGTAGAACTTCCTGTCAGCCAGGAATGAGGCTACTAGCCGCAACATAGCAGGAGGGATACAGGTCTGTTCTTCTAGCTTGTAGAGTAATCCAGAGTGCCACACTCTGTCGAACGCCTTCTCTATGTCGAGCAGCACGCCTTCTCTATGTCGAGCAGAACTCCCAACGATGTGCAGCCTCGGTTGTGCTCGGCCGCAAGGTAGTGCAGCACTTTGGTCAGCTGTGTCGCTGTTGAGTGATTCCTCCTGAATTCATGCTGCTCTGCCCGAAGTTGTATGCACGGGCGGAGGCGTCTGAACAGTAATCTTTCTAGCAGTTTAACTATGTGCGGCAGTAGCGTAATCGGCCTGTAGCTGGCAGCTCTACGTCTGTCCTTACCTGGTTTCGGCAACACAATTACCTTGCCGATCTTCCACTCCTCCGGGAAGTGGAATGTCCGCAGTATTCCATTGTAGAGTCGTCCTATCTCTACTAATGTCCTATTAGGCAGCTGTCGAAGTGCAGCGTTGGTAATTTCTGCTGCAAGCGGTGGCGCGGGCGACGACAGGAACTCCTGTACGCGGCTCTCCTTCCGGGCATGAATATCCATGAATTCCGTACTTGCTGGGTTCGGCATAAATTGCTCCTCGAAGTGCTCTAATAGGATATCCGCTCTACCCTTGGCATCATAACAGCGTTCACCCGCATTGTTGGGCAGCGGGCATACGGCGGGTCTTGTTTTAGTCAACTGTCGGTTCAATTTGTAAAGCGACGCATTGTGCTCTTCCGCTTTCACGATGCGCCGCTCCCAAGCCTCTCCTCTGTGGTACTGGATTGCAACCGACAGTTCGTCCGATAGCTGATTGAGCTGTGTCTTCAATCTTGGGCAGCGAGTACTCGCCCAGAGCTTCCTGAACGCATATGTTGCGCGGCAGGACTTCCTTCCTTGCTGTTAGTGGGACGACCGTAGAGGCTGCGTTGAGGGCTTGTTGGATGTTTTTTTGATCTTACGAATTTCTAAAATACCAGCCTCCTATCCTAATATGTTAGCTATACGCGAAAGAGATCCGCGCGCTGCGTACCATTTCGACATTATCTGATACTAGTATTCATGATCACACTATCACAACTAACCCCATATCTTTATTTCTTAAAAACATATTGTTACATAATTTAACGGATAGTGCTTTCTTTGCCTAAATTACAGCTATCTCTGTTTATTATAAAACATTGTTTATTTACATATGCTATTCTTATCAAGCCATTGTGTAACTTATCTCTTATCACAGAAACAAAACATTTTTTACTAAAATTTGTATCTATTTTAATATAAAACTTTTATTCGTATTACATAGCCGATTACTACGTAACATATGACTCTAAGTTAATCTATAAACAAACTTTTATGGAAATAACTCTCGATCAGGGATTCGAACCCCGAACTTTCACTCGACAATCGCATGTTCTTATCATTATATTGAATCTATTTACTTTTAACATAGATTGCTCTGATTTGGAATAATATTAAATTAATTGTACATAATTATGCATGTGCTTATTATTTTTATGAAAATGGAAAATATAATTATTTTTTAAGCGCGTCGCGATGAACTTTATTGAGGACAAATTTTAGATATATATAAGGGCTATGCTTGCCATTTTTATACTATAAAAAATTTGGCAACTTATTACTTTATTTTTTTTTTGGTTCAAATTTGACTTTAACTTGTCAATATTATTATTATTACTACGCCACATTTGTTGTGATAATATCTTAATTTCCACAAAAAATTTAAAACGGTTCATCTCGTTGAATAATGTTATACAATATAAGTAGAGTGTATTGCATGCCTTAAGCGCGAAACACGCAGGTATGTTCTGCTAAGACCTAAAAATTTATGTCTTTAAATACGTAGAATTTAGATATTTTACGCTTCGAACAACATAAATAATTTCCATTAACTCAATTTAGAAATTATCCGAACTCGGTATACATAAGTTAATAAGTTCAAATATTCTATTTGGTAACGAATGTAAATTCATTTGTCTTAAGATAATAATTCCATATATAAAATTCATTCATTATAAACATCGTGGGCACACAATGTTACCGTGTAACTAATATTTAAAACCTATATATTATATTTTGTTGAAGAACCAAGTATCAAACAACTGTTATTTTAAATACTTAACCAGGAAATAATTTGTTGCAGATCCTGGCAGCGAATGAAGATTTTGGATTTAAGTGTTATATAATTGCACACTCTCTATCAGCATCACATATCTCAATCGTCTATTTAGTTTATTCAATAATAGTTAGAAAATAAACGGCATGTGCATAGTAGAAAGTGTGCTGAAAATTGCTTTGGCGTTTCTAATGTTTGCCATATCGCCATCAGCTACAAACAGCTCTATAAGTGCAGGTAAATAAAATTTTTGTGAAATAACTTGTTTTTTACATGTTTTTATAATCGCCACATTTGGTACGGATGAAAATGCACACAGGCCCTGTATTTACATCGTAAGGTAATCTCTGGTTATAAATCACGTCATCCCGTCGGTGTCCTAATAGGCAACAGAGAAAAATGATGCAGAAGGTGGGCAGCAGCAGCAATAAAATAATAGAAAACTGCTTTTACCAAACGTGGTAACTAAGGCAAACATTATCCCTTATTAATTAGTATGTGAAATGTTTTTCGAGAAGAATTGCAACAGCGAGGATATCTACTTGATACTGATAGAGGAACCTGTTAAAGCAACTTACTGACTGCACTTGAATTTGGAATTGATTAATGCAAGAAACTCAGATCAAGTATCTCCCGCCTACTTCTGAGAGACATAATTTTTAAATTCAATCAATCTTTGATTATAGGGCTGTCTGTGTGAGATATCTGTTTCATGGAATCCAACGTGCCTTGTAAAAGCGAGTAGTACGTTTTTAATGCGTTCGGAATGTATGTGACAGTAAAGATTCCAAATGCCACTGGCAAACTCGAGGCAACTTCTCGTAAACACGTTGCACAAAATATTTTTAGTCTGGCGGGTCCATCTTTTTCTGGTTCGTCTAATGAATCCGAGGAACTGCGTGGCATTTTTAATATTATTGTTTTTTAATAGCATACCAAATAACGATTGTAACAGATCAGGTCCGGTTGACATCGCATCGTTAAGACATCGTCCGCCCGTCTTGGCTGCTACGTCGAAAACAAGTTATTTTCTTTTTCTGCGGATGCGTAACCACGAAATGGGGAACATACCAAGTACTTGGGGAGGTGGTAATATGGAACGCTTTCTCTACGTTACCGTTAACGATGAATTTCTTAACTTGCTTCTCATACACCTTTATCATATCCGCATTTTTGTCGAGCTTCTTTTCGTTATTAGTCAGGCAACTTTCAGCCTGCGCTCTATTCGGTGGGATGTTTTCATCATCGGACCGCCACAACAAACCAGATTCGTATATGTTGTCCGGTAAATGACATATCGCTTTTCTTAAAATATACAGCGCTTGCTCCTCGGGGTCACTCGCCGTCTTGCGCGCTTCGATTCCCAACAATTCAAGGTTGAAATAATCTTTTATTAATTACTCCTTGTCCTCCTCTCTCCCGCTGGTAAAATGGTTAACGAGTTTACCACGCAGAAACCAGCCAGAACGCATCTGCAATTCCCCTGGTGTTGCAGTAGTACGTGGGCGGCGATAGCCACTTACCATCAGGTGAGCTAAATGCTCGTTTCCCCCTCTACTATAAAAAACCCCAGACAAGCTTGATGAGCAATGCCACGGGTAGGACCTTGCCTCCTGAAATTAATTCACGAGTAATAATAAGGTGCCAGTTATGCTGACCAATTAATATGGTTTTTTCATGTAACAATTCATCCTCTATGGATCTCACCGATTCTGAAGAGAGATTAAGTGCCTTAACGGTTTGCACACGTATATCTTATAAGTCGCGTGTGAAAATTCTCTTAATATTAATTTCAGGCGATACAAACTACTGTCGTCAATTCTTTTTTCCCCTATTACCCTCAGTACGTAACTCCTCTTTGGGCTAACTTCGTGTTTAAGTGTAATGTATGGTAACTTCGTGTTTAATTATAATGTAAATAGTGTAGTCGGTTTGCGTACAAATATAAGCAGTAGTAATAACTTTAGTCTCCTGGCGGTGCGAGCGCTATACGCTAGTACTGAAATACGAGTAGCTTGTTGAACACCTGCATGACGATAACGAGTTGCGCTACGATATATTAATTATTAAAGATGTTACCGACAAACTAACTTCTTAAGGTTATATTTACCTAGATTATTATTAATTTTATGTGTTTGATAATCTTAACTGCAATGCGAATGGAAGATTATAAGAAAAGTTTTTTAAGCGTTATAACGCGATAACTAACTATAAAACAAAATCGTTGTCAATTTCTAACGACGCCGTCGTCGTTAGAACGCGACCGTTCGCGTAGTATATTTTTACCTATAGCTAACAGCAATAAGCAATACTTACACGAATACCGTCTCGATGCGAAATAATAAAATAAATTCCTTGTTTATATAAAGAGAAATAATGAAGTTCAAGTGTGATAAGAAATGTATTTCATATAACTGTAGTTCTGGCGATTTAGTATTAATTAAGAATCAAACAGGTAATAAGCTCGATTGTGTTTACAAAAGTCCTTATAAAGTAATAAAATAAATATCTAGAAAAGTTTACATAATGATTTCTTATACGAGTATTTACGTGAACACTACACATTTAAATAAAACTAATTTTACGTGGGTGCTGTAAAGTGCTTGAAACGTCGGGAATATAAAATAAGTTAATATACGCGATAAAATCCGTTAAATTAGTTTTATTCAAAAGAAAAGTTTGAATTATGAAGAATAATAAAGATATATTAATACATAAAAACAATAGCTAATTGTTCCATTGTTATATTATATAATATAACTTTTCATTAAACATCATGTTGTATTAAATAAAAAGCAATATGCTTAAGTAAATTACTTTGATATTTACTTCAATGTATTTCCTTTTATTTTGACTTTTTGTGTGACGTTAGTATTTTTTTTTAAATTTTCAACTAAAGCTTGTAATAAGAAAAGCATTATAATTGGAATTAGTTTAAACATTTTTTTCTTTTATAAAATGAGGGTTTGTACCCTATACTTTTCGGAGAAGTTGTCATGTGATCAAAATAATGTAAGCAAGAAAATAGTCCCACGGGTGTGTAAAGGTGAACTCGCTCCCACTGACGTGTAAAATTCAGCTTACGCGGCACTTCCCTATCCGCGTTTGAATTGTTTTTTTTTATAGTACAAGGGTGACAAACGAGCACACAGTTCACCTGATGGTAAGTGGTTGCTTTGGCCCATAGACATCTACATCTATCTTCGATTAGAAATGAAAATGCAGATGCTTTGTCACCCGAGAGGACTAAGATGGAATGCCTCGTTTCCAGTAAAAGGGGTCTCCGGTTCTTTACACTCACCATACGAAACACAGTAGCGTTAAGCTGCTATTTGACGCTGGTATTATGTGAGAGCGTGGCCCGTCCCCGGTCGAGCCGACCCATTCGTGCTACAACAATAATATAGCTGCAACATGGCTCTACCATGTTTGTGTGGACATTGTGTTTTCCCTTTTTTATAACACTATACCTTGGACCGTCTTACGGGGAACATGTTCTCACTTGGAATGTAAGTTTCTTTGTTATTATGCTCCGCTTGTGTAACATTTTATGTATTACATAAAAATACGTCAACTTTAGGAGTATCGTTCCATAATTTAATATTTTATTTGGTGTCCTTAAATCGTTTGTTGTCTTATCAAAAGTATTACAAACACGCAAATGCTCGAAAAATAAATTCAGTAAAGCTGTTCTGTTAGAAATGTCAAAGTATGTTAAGATATTTTATGTCAAACGCGTCTTAACGTGTGTTGATGAATTATTCAGCGCTGTCTGCGTCAAAAATGTACTCGAACTGCAAAATTTTATATCAGTATTTAACTTTAAAATATTTATAAAAATTTGGCCTTCTCTAATGTACGATAAATTTATGTCATATTCGCAGGTAGTTCACTGACACCGGTAACAGGAACAGTGACACGGGTTTCGTCCGTTGTCGGCGGCGATGCGGATCTTCCCTGCGACTCAAGTCCGCCGCAGTATAATGACAGTCTTCTTCTTGTCGTGTGGTACAGAGATGACAATCCTGTTTACAGGTAAATACCCATGCACAATTTTAACGGCTTTTGTGTATTCTACACATATGCAAATCTAATATGAAAATCACAGACCACAATCACTGTAATATCAAATTTGCATCAGTTAACAAAATGATCTCAGGAAAAAACCGTCAGCAAACTCTGGGGTCTTTTATTTTTTTAAATGACATGTTACAATTTTCTTTGCGAGATACAAAGGTATATTTATATAGTGATGTAAAAATGTGATAATTATGATAATACACGTAATACAACGTTAAACATTTATGTCACCAAGCATTATTATTGTTTAAAAATTACTGTAGCACTGTAAAAAAACTATTTCTAACAAAAAAGTATTTTTGAAAACTAGAGAGTTTTCTATAGTTCTAATTTGAACCTCCGCGGTTTAAAAAATTTGCTTAATATACTTTTATTATGGGATTAACTCATTGAACTTATATTGCACTACTTTTTTATAATAATTTCAATTAAAGCAAAACAAAATTTGATAATATATAAGCAGTATATTATTTTAAATTCAAATGTTATCATCATGTAAGATAAATAAGAAAAACCATATAAAATATGAATTTCAGAACTCTTTTTTCAAAACTCGCATATGGTTTGTATAAATACATAAACTAAAGAAAGAGAAACAGAAACAGAAACTTTTTATTCAATGTAGATTATAAATAATACTTATGTTAGTCACTTTTATGTTTAAATTACCACTGGTTCGGAAAAAAAGCATCTGCCCTGGGGAGTTTTTTTTTAATAACAGCTTAAAATCATTTATGTTACAAAATTATCAACCCAAAACCAATTAGGAATAGCCTGGTAGCGATCACCTCACTCCCAGGGGTTATTATCATCCATAAATTCCTTAATATTGTAATACAACTTTTAATACAAAACTTAGTTTTCTTTTTAACTGAATAATATTTCAGTGATCATTTCACGTGAGCGCAAAGATAATAAGACATGCAAATTGATGTTTATCGATTACACAAGCGAGATCGATGTGCTTGCAACTGTTATGATTGCTGCAACTCTTCTACAAATTGTATGGGGTGAAATATCGATTCTTATACATTTCATAAGACATATTTAGACATTTTATAGATTTACTAAGCAAAAAAAAGTTAAAATATTTTAAAGTATTTTTAGTCAAGGTGTATGCACAATGCTACAAGGCTGCCTATCTGTTACTACGGCATTTCAGTGATATGTTGCGAACCATTAACATTAATTATTATGAATATGACAGCACTGGCGAAGCTTTATACACTGGCTGTATTAATATTTCTCAGGAACACGTCGTTAAGTGCCGGAACAAATTTGGGTCTGAAGTCGAGTCTTTGTTATACAAAAGTCTCGGATTGGGGGTGACTATGTCTAGTCCAGCTCAATCCCCCGAAAGACACAGTTTGCGCGTTTACCTTTAAAAAACCCTTCGTCGTATTTCCTAAATTTCAGGGCACTCCTCTTGTTGCTTCAGTCAGTATCGAAATCCGACAATGGCGTCGACATTTGACTTCACATGTCTTCGAATTTATTTTTTTATTTCTCAGACATGCAGGTTCCCTCACGATGTTTTCCTTCACCACCGAGCACGCGATAAATCAGTTGTAATCAATCAACAATTTCATTGGTGCCGGCGGGGATCGAACCCGGGTTGATTGCGTAATATGAAATTTAGAGCGAGCGCTAAGTTCCTGAGCTACTCTGTCATATTTGTCAATAATTTAGCTCAGGCAATTATTAATTTTGCTTTCAATTATTAATTTTGCTTGCAATTGATATTTTCGAAGGTACAGAGACTACGTTTCCATGATGAACTTATATATCTATACTTATATGGCATACACGTTTAACATTAGTACGAGTAGTTACATAACATTAAAATGAAAAAAAAATGCCTTTCAAAGTCCACTATACAAGAATACTTAGTATTTTTTGATTTTACAACTGGTTCGGAAAAAGAACTTCAGTCCTAGGTAGAATTATAATAAATCTAGCGGAACTTTTTTTTAAATAAATTTGACTTACAATATAATATTTTATTCAATTAGGTATGAAAACATTTAGACACAGCAACAGCGTGTTAGCAGTCGATGCTTTGAGCTTAAGCAACGTATTAAAAAAACAGTAACGTCATCAAAGACAATAAAGTGTAAAACTATACAATTTAATTTTTATTATATTATAATAATGCAAAAAGAACGGCTGAAACTTTTTCAGTATTTTGAGTGTAAAATGTGTTTAAAAGCAGCGCGTGAAATGTGATTTATTGGGAAAAAAAATAATTTCAATTACATTAACATATTTATTATACAATTTTAATATTCTATTAATTCGCAGAATTTTTAATTTTCGTAAAAAAATGGGTTATCCGTCCGTCCACTGCTGAACATAGGTCTTCCCCATAGATTGCCTCATAAGGGGTATATTTGTTATAGTTACCGTGCTTGGCGAGCGGGTTGGCATCTGTAATGTTTTATTTTTGGTTGTTACAAGGAAGACGCTGCTGCCTATATCCTGATTTGTTTCCATTTTTCGCCTCTTACGACACCCACGGGATGATGTGAAGCAGTTTATATTCTTACACCGCCACCGTGTAGTGGCAGTGTAAGAATATTATTATAACGCAATAATTACCCTATAATTTAACGTTCGGATTCAAATACTTTTTACTAACAGCTACGACACGAGAGTACAAGGGCCTTCTGCACACTGGACCGATGACGCGTTCGCTGAGCGTGCTCGCTGGCTCGGAATGCCAAACTCCGCTTTGCATCTTAGCAATGTGCAGTCACGCGATCAAGCAACTTACAGATGTCGTGTCGACTTTCAGGTTTCTCCAACACGAAACTACAGGATCGCACTTGACATTATTGGTAAGTGTAAGTTAAAAAATATAATAATCGATGAGGTATTTTTGAAATCAGTGCCCTATATTATAGACAGTTTATTTTCAGCGTGTTTGTAAATGAATTAAACAAATATTTTGTTATTAATGGCTCATACTATAATATATTGTATTAAATATGTCGTTGTGTCGTGTGGCTGCTACTAAGAATTTCTTGACAAAAAATCCAATAACTTATTTCTTTGCCCGACTCTGAATTCAAACCCGGGATCATAATGGCAAAAGAATGTAGTAAGTGATTCAACGAGACTTCGAGTTCCATAGGTGACATATTTCACCAAATACACATAATATCCTTCAAATCCGCACTTACGCTGAAGGTACGTAGCAATAAACGGATAAGAGTTGTTCAATTGGGTAAGCGATATAAAAGTTGCGGGGAATAGTTACGAGCCGCTTACGGTTGCTGCTTTCTTGTACTGAACATTCATATCACAGAAACTTTTGTTTCGAGCCAACGTAAACATTTTCATATCCCTCCGTTCCTATTGCTGAAAGCCTTTGTCAGTTTGTTTATCTGCAATTTAAGGGTATTGGAGCATGTGATGCCCTATGTTTTGTTTGCCGTATCATTTTAATGGTAAACAGATATTGAAGACGTGTGAATGCTTATATTAAATACACTGTAATAATATTTATCTGTATCCAATATAACACCGTTATTAAATTAATTTACGCAGTTACAATGTATAATTTTGTTTGTTAATTAATCAGTTTCAATATTGTTATACTTTTTCTTAGAAATAATTCAAATTTAATCAAAATGTTAGTGTTGTATTTTATTAGACAATAAGTAAACCTGAAAAATAATATTCGAAGTGGCGGAAAATCAATGAAAGTTCTTTACAATATGTGTATAAATACAATTAAAAAAAATACTTATTAAATTGAAATTTTCTTTACGGCCTGACTAGTTTTTAGGATATTAATTTAGACTAATGCTAAGTGATGATTGTAGAAAGTTTATTTGTTTATTTATCTACATGTTACAAAAACAACATATTATAATAAAGCAAAGAAATTGATCTTAGCACCTCACTATAACGATACATATTTAACTAAGGAGCTAATACAAATCCAAATTTAAATAAGGTAAAAAAAACATTTCGAGTTATGATAATAGTGCTACAGAAAAGTTAATGTTCTACCCTCCGTTGTAGTTTGCACTGTATTACTGGTATTACGGCAGGCGTAGTCATCCTCCTCAAGGCAGAAACAATTATCACGTCACTCAGTGTATACTCGTAGTATACGAAATTTCATTTTTTTTTTGGTTTTTTCTTCTTTCCTTTACATTTTGTTACAAACAACTTGAATATGATTTATTATAAGGTCAAATATATATATAATTTATTAATGTATGTGTGTGTGTGTGCGTGTGTGTGCGTGTGTGCGTGCGTGTGTGCGCGTGTGTGTTTGCATGTGTGTGTGTATGTGTGTGTTTGTGTGTGTTTGTGTGTGTTTGTGTGTGTGTTTGTGTGTGTGTGTGTGCGTGTGTGTGTGTGTGTGCGTGTGTGCGTGTGAGCTTGCGTGCGTGTGTGCGTGTGCGTGTGTGTGTGTGTGTGTGTGTGTGTGTGTGTGTGTCTGTGATTGAGTGCATGCATGCGTTGTGAGTGTGTGTGTGTGTTTTTGTGTACATGCGTGCATGCATGTGGTTATATGTTTGTGTGCGTATGTGTTATTTGTGAAGCCCATGCTATGGATGTTAAGTCAACACATCATATAATACGTTTTGCAACATCTCATTTTATTTATCCAGTATATACGAGGCTAATGTTCGACCTATATTACCGAAATATTTATTAACATAATTTGCCGATTTCAAGGGACTTGAATTTAGTAACGGGTAAGAATACCAACTACCCCATATTTTCCAGTAGGTGTCGTAAGAGGAGACAGAGGGAAACTAAGGCAGAAGATGGGCAGTAGCATCTTTATGGTATACCTGCAAAACAACAATTTAAATATGCGGTTACCAACCCGCTCGCCAAGCTTAGCAACTAGTGCAATATATCCCCCATAATAAAAGTTACGAAGAGACGGCTCCTAGTCCCCGGCGGCCCCACTGTTCCTGACAACGGTGGTGACAATGGTAACGCCGAGGCAAAGGGTGCTAAGAATCTCAGGTGGAGGTTCGGTTGCCATCTAAGCCGACTCGACCTGGCAACAGATTACGTACGCACCCTGAGGACTGACGAGAAGATCCTGGAGCGGGAAGTAGAGATAGACAAGTTGCACTGGAATATTATAGGATTATCCGACAGGACAGGACATGGTAATCCTTGAATTCGGCAACTTGTTCTATCACCGGGAGAGCGAACATATGTCCGAAGGAGGTGTCGGATTTATCGTCCACAAGTCTATCGTTAACAACGTTGTAAATATTGAAAGTGTGTCAACGAGGGTTGCGTACCTTATACTCAAAATCACCACAGAGTATTCGCTGAAGGTCATACAGGCTTACGCGCCAACCTCGAAAATTCCGACGAGGATATGGATTAAATGTATGATGATATATTAAATGTATGATGATATATAGAGCCATGCATTCCTCCAAAACCCACTATACAGTGTTAATGGAAGGCTTCGATGCAAAACAAGTCACAAGAGAGAACGGCGAGCTGAAGGTAGGGTAATTTAGAATAGGGTAACGGAACCTAAGTGGCAAGCAGCTGGCCTTCTTCATGGAGAAAGAGGGACTCTTTATAATGAACTATTTTTTTTTCAGAATCAGCCCCACAGAAAGTGGATCTGGTCGAGCCCCGACATTTTTGAGAGATGAAATAATATACACCACCACTCCACTGTTTTGATTTATTTTCTTTGTTGTTGTAAATGATGTATAATTTGAAACATTCGGTAAAATACTTAATGGTTTTAACCAAAGTTAGTTCAAAATTATAATGTCAAGAGATATAGAACATTGATTTGAGACAATAATATTTCATAATCACAAAAATTATGGGTTAGGCTTCTTATATTTTGGGTAATGATGTTTAATGATTGCTTAGATACAATTAAATATTTTCTGCACTCACCTGGGTCTCCAACTAAAAATGACTTACCGACATTCATATCGTTGTCAATGTCAGGAAATATTTCTAAACAGTTAGCCATTTTCAAAGTGTTCTTTATTTATTATTTTCATTATGAATAAGAATGCATAACTATTCCTATATAATTGCCTGACACCTAAGAATCTCGGTTTGCATACAATGAGTTGACAAGGCACCGAAATAACTTTGTCAAATCTCTACTACTATCCGATCTGTTTATCACATAACATTTCCTTAATACAAAGTTAACGCTAATGCGATTACTCATATAACCAATAATTGATAATGCTGATATGTGTTACCGAAACTTTAATCAAAATCTCCTTAATAAGCTGTTCACGCTTGTTCAATAACTGCATTAGATACATTCTTAGACTTCGTAAATATGATCATACATTCAAAAGACTGGTACGCGAACATCTGTAAGAAGCTGGCATGAATAATAATATAACTTGTTCTCTTCCGTTCTATATAATTATTTGTATTTTGTACTCGTATTATTAATATTATGTATTAATATATAATTATAATACACACACACACACACACACACACACACACACACACACACACACACACACACACACACACACACACACACACACACACACACACACACACACACACACACGTAGCATGTGTGTATAGATTTTTTGAGTATGTGTACTATTAATAAAAGTACTTCCGCCTAATAATATTTAATATTTATTTTTTATCATTATCGCTATGTTGTTTATAGATTTTGTTTTGTGCTTGGTATTATATTTCACCGCACCCGGGATTGACTAGAAGCGAATGACAAGATTCATGAAGTCCTTCCTTTGTAACCCTTTTTATTAACGTGCGAAAAATAAAGTGTAAGTAAATATACAAATAAATAGAACAATAGTTGAACGTCTATTCAATATATTATTGTCTTTTCATTGGATTATAAATGAATGTCTCTAATAGAAGAATTATTAGGCTTTTGTTAAGCTTACCAGTGTGCCCTATTATCCAGGGCTAAAATTAGGTGGAATGGTTAAACACTGGCTTAAGATGAGGATGATGAATTTTTGGTGGACAAAAGTTTGGTAATAACTTTTGATTTTTTTTATACGATAAGGGTGACAAACGAGCACACAGTCCACCTGATGGTAAGTGGTTGCTGCGGCCCATAGACATCTACATCTATCCTTTATTACAAATCAAAATGTAGATACGTTGTCACCCGTGAGGACTAAAATGGAATGCCTCATTTTCAGTAAAAAGGGCCTCCGGCCACCTGCACTCACCAAGCGAAACGCAGAGGTAAACCTCTACTTCACGCTGGTTTTCTGTGAGGTCGTGGTACCACCCCGGTTGGAGCCGGCCCATCCGTGCGACAGCAAAAGCTGCCGAATGGCTCTACCACTGTTAGAAAATGATAATTTGTATTGAATGAAATGATTATTTGTAAGATCTCAACTTCGCTAGAGATATATTGCTTACATTACTGATGGAGGCGTTCCATATTAGTGCTCAGAGGTGGCAGTGTATGTATTTATCTTTATTTGAAGTTGATAACAGATCTCCATGGGCTGCATTCGCTTCTTACCATCAGGGGACTGCAAGTTCATTTGTCAGAAATTTTAACACCGTACCCGATATAACGCTTTGCGATAAGATTCGAAGCTGGCAAGGACGTGTATGTAGTGTCAGGGATACAGAGACAAACATCATAACATACACCCAAAAAATTTCTCCTTTTCTCTTACGTTCCGATCTCCGGCTCCGACTGGGATTCAAACACAGGACCCACAGCGAAGTAGTTACTTTCCCTCCTTAGACCTAGAAGTAGTGTTAAGTTACATGGAATATTTCGTTAAAAGTAAAAAGATCTCTGGGTTTCCTTACTCACCATATGAAACATAGTAGCATTATGCTGTTAATTTAAGTTAGTATTGTGATAGAGCCCTCCTCACGCAGTCCAGTGACTCATACATGTTGCAGTGATAATACGATCCAACGTTACTTACATATTATAAATGAAAACCAAAATTTTTTATCACTTTTATTTTGATTTTTAATCAGAACTCCCAGGAAAGCCGGTTATATTCGATGAATACGGCAAGGAAATATACGATGTAGCGGGACCTTACTTCGAGGGAAGCGATTTTAAACTAGTTTGCTCCGTAAACGGAGGTAAGTAGTTAACATATTTACTAACTTGATGGGTTTTATACTGTTTGGTTTATTATATTACTTATTTTAATATAATCAAGATTCGGCAGTATGATATTGCAAAAAAATACCTTTACTTCATCACTAAAATAATAATTTAGTAATCAATGAGATAGAAATTAACTTTCGACACTGTTTTATGTACATATATGCTTCCTGTATGCTCTCCGTGTATCAAGGGCTTTGCTAAAATCTTTCGGATAGTTTGCTTGATTGATTTAAGAACTCTCTTGGTTCGTTATCATTTCATGGGCCTTCCCATATATTGCCTTTAACATGGTAATTAAAAATTTGTTATGTGGTATGGTATTCGGTATACTTAATATATATATATATATATATATTACTCTAATGGTCTAGTGATACACTACAAGTCACGAAATTCCATTTCGAGGGAGGTTTACGTTTAATAATAAAATTTTATAGAGTATCAGGGTTACACTATTCGATCTATATACACAATAGGGAAAACATTATTCAAACTTACTTCGATAACATTAGCTTCCCTTAAATCATCTTTTGTTGTGTGTGTTGATTGTAATAAATAATGTTTTAAAAGCATCATTTAATTAATCAATTCTGAATTTCAATAAGTAAGTATCAATAAGTAATAAGATAAGATGATTTTTAAAACTTACTATATTGTTGTTATTACTTGTGTAATATAATCCATGGTTACTTTATTATATATTCTCTCCGAATCTTTATAACTTATTTTATTTATTGTAATTGCATATTTACTATGTAATGACAAATCAATTTAAACCTAAAATTTATGTGTACAAAAACAGACGCCTTTGCTAAATTATAAGGTAGGTAAGTACAAATACGCATCTGCGCCGGCACTCCGACTCAGCAGACTCAGCTGCACCAGAAATTAACACATTCGCACCACTAGGTTGGAACTTTAATAAAGCCGACTTTTTGTCATTATATTCCTTAATTGCGGCAGCAGATTGGACTCCTATATATGAGTTAGACTTGGAAAGGAGCTTAAAATATTTTTATAAAATTATCAATTCTGCTATGGATGACTGTGTTCCGAAAAAAAAGCGAAGTCGTGTAAGCTCAAGGTACATTTACCCGGAGTGGTACACTGTTGAAATAATTCGCAACATAAAATTGAAGGCTTTACTGCATAAACGGTACAAGGCCAGTAGATTGAGAACTGATTATGACGCGTTTGCTCGGTGTAGGGCTAATGTGAAGAATATGATAGGACTCGCACAGGAACAATATCAACAACGTGTTCAAAATCAAATGTTGAAAGATCCAAAATCTTTTTGGAATTTTGTTAAATCCAAAAGACGTAAGAGGAGCCCACAATTGATTTTGAAAGACGGGGAAGCGTTGTCTGGTCAGCAGTGTGTGGACGAATTCGCAGAGTATTTTTATTCTATTTATAGTACAGAGCGGCCGGAGTTGGATGTGACTTCTGCTATAGTAGGAGCAGGTAGTGGAAACGGAGCGGCGCGGGTACACTTGGACCAATTACAATTGGCAGACGTATGTCATGCGCTTAAAGAACTTAAGCCCAAACGGTCTGCAGGACCTGACGGCATTCCGCCTTATATCTTTAAGGATTGTCGGTCAGTACTAGCCAAGCCGCTATTGCATATATATAACAAATGCCTTAAGGCCGCTGTGTTCCCGGAGAGGTGGAAAGTAACCCGCGTTGTTCCGGTTCCAAAAGGAGGTTCAGCAGAATCAGTGGATGGGTACAGGCCTGTTGCAGTGTTGTCTTCGCCGGCAAAAGTATTTGAAGCTGCTATTCATAAGACAATATTCCATCAGGTGAGCGCACAACTCTCAGACGCTCAACACGGGTTTAGACCAGGAAGGAGTACAACTAGTAACCTTCTCTGTCAGATGGCTCATTTGATACCGAGTGGAGACAAGGGGGTACAGACGGATGCAGCCTATTTTGACTTTAAAAAAGCATTTGACCTAGTAGATCATAACGTGTTGCTTAAAAAGCTAGCAGTTTTTGGTTTTACCCCACATTTACTGCATTTTTTTGCAAGTTACATGTCCGATAGACAGCAATATGTGGAATATGAGGGACATCAGTCAGAGCCATATTTCACGTGGTCTGGGGTAAGTCAGGGCAGTAACCTTGGCCCTTTGGAGTTCTTGATGATGATAAACGACCTACCAGAAGTGGTGAAAGACGCTAGGTGTTTATTGTTTGCTGACGACCTTAAATTGTCTCTTGCGGTAAAAAATGGGCACGACTGTGCTATTCTACAAAGAGACATAGACAGGGTTGTAAATTGGAGCAAAGAAAATCTTTTGCAATTTAACAGCTCTAAGTGTGTGTTAATTAGTTTTTCTCGTGCGCACACTCCTATTTTAAATAAATATCACATTGACGGGCTGCCGATGACAAGGGTCAGAGAAGTTAAAGATTTAGGAGTAACTTTTAATACAGGGCTTACTTTTCATGATCACATCATAAACATCTGTAAAAAGGCTTATAGAAATCTAGGATTTATGCTTCGTACGGTCCGAGGATTCACAAACATAAGAGCGATAGTCGCCTTGTATAATACATTGGTACGGAGTCAACTTGAATGTAATGCAGTCGTCTGGGCTCCGCATGAAACTAAGTATAGTCTCATGCTAGAGCGAGTACAGAATAAATTTATTAGATATTTATATATGCGTTATTATGGTGTATACCCATTTTATCCTCTAATGTATCCAACTTTGTTTATCTTAGGTATGGTAGGATATAATGAACTAAGAGTTAGAAGGGAACTTGCGCTCACCTCGTATATTTTTAAAGTACTCAGAGGAAAATTGCATAACGCTGAAATGTTAGGGCAATTAAACCTATATGTTCCTGAGAGGTATGTGTGGCGCCGACGGCAGCCGCGACTGTTGGTGGAGCCGCGCGCTCGAACCAACCTTCTGAGTAAGGCGCCTCTGACGCGCGCACTCCATACGCTCAACTTAATAGCTAGTGAGACGGACCTATTCTGTTGTACTCTGAGTGAATTCACAAAGATAGCATTGCTTGTAATTTGTTACAAAAATTAAAGCATGAAGACAAATTAGTTAGACAGCTACACTATCGCATTAGGTAATCCTGTAATGATAGTTGTAAGTTTCAGAAATAAATAAATAAAAAATAAAAATAAAAAAAATATTAAATTTGTAACATTACATATTAATTAAAAACATTTTTTACAAAATTTATCTTATATTTTTTTTATAAACTAAATTTGTTTAAAGTTTTAATTAAACATTCAATTTTTTCAACCATCACAGACGTAAATATTTTATTAAGTTCTTAAAAAGTTATTTTATTACAAGAGCTAACACTGTGTGCTATTTACATTTTAGTGTATTCTTTACACAGGTAATCCTATACCACGAGTGCAATGGCTTCAGGGCGAGACTGTTCTCACTACATTAGGTGTAGGTGAAATTCAGCGCGGGCCGACATGGTCATTGACCCTTCTAATAACAAATGCAACAAGAACTCATTACGCAACTGTGTATACATGTACTGCTGACAACACTTTGTTGGCTCCGCCTCAACAGTCCTCGATCAGAGTGGATCTTTATTGTAAGTTTATATTAATACCTATGAATATATATATATATATATATATTTAATTTTAAGTAACTTTAGCTACTGTATTTTTTGTAAAATATTTTATTCCGAAGACTGTAAATATACTGTATCGCTACCAGTTTTCACCCTCGCGATCACGGAGACATCACTGAACAGTTGTCGTTTGGTCATCATAAAGAAGTCAGTTGCAATTGATAATTTAACCAAATATAATATTGAATAGCATCTCATTGTTCCCAAAAATTTTAAAAAGCGAATGGAATAAAGTTAAAACTTTAGAATATACATACGTAAAATTTAAATTAAATTTTTGAATCATTTATCTTTTATCAATTCCGCAACGTTTAGTATAAAAGTAATAAAGTCAAATTGCCTTAGGTATGTCATCGGGTGTTATACATATATGCCCTTATTCTGAACATATATGTCACGGACGATACGCTACTTATACAATTTTACTGTGGTCCCTAGATAATTGTTTAATTGTGCGAAAGAAAATATGATGTCAAGAAACATGTTTTGTACAAGGGTGTTTTCATTTTTAAACTAAAATAAAAAAATCTTATAATAACTGGGATTGCAAGTAAAATTACGCTAGTAAAGAAAATGAAATATACTTATTTTTTTAGAATAAACGGTGATAAACGAGCACAAAGTCCACCTGAGATCGTAACTAGATGCTGTGGCCCATAGATATCTACAAATATCATAATTAAAAAACCAAAATGCGTTCTCACTCAATTAAAATGCGTTGTCATCCCTGAGGACTAAGATAGAATGCTTAATTTTCAGTAAAAATAATCTCCGGTTCTCAACACTTATGATAAGAAACACAGCAGCATTAAGCTGATATTTTACGCAGGCATTCCGTGAGAGCGTTATCCTTCCCCGTTTGAGCGGATCAATTCTTGCTGCAACCATAATATAGCTGCATAAAATTAAGGTTTTAATAAAAGTAATTTTTTTGTAAAATCGAGACGAAAAGATTTAATTGCGCTTTTTAATTAATTTACTCATAAAATCAAGGTAGAAATATAAAAAAATGTTATTAGAATTAATATTATGTACTTAAATGTTTTTCTTAATAGTGCGACCACTAACAGTTGAAATAATTTCGAGAGAACAGCCTCTCTCAGCTGGAAGAAAAGCCGAAATCTGGTGTAAATCTGCCGGAGCAAGACCGCCGGTCACTATAACATGGTGGTTAGGAGGCAACAAATTACATTTTGAAACAAAGCAACAGGTATTTGTTATGTATATGTTCGTATCGTATAAATTTATGATACTAGTATAGATAAAAAATTACCAGCCTGTAATCTCTATAGTTAGAAAGTAAATTTGTTTTTCCACTTTGCACTATCTTAAGACATTGAAGTCGTTACTTATGTCAAATACATTTTAGACATGAATGTTCGTATTGTTGCATTTAAAAAAAACTTATAATAATATAATAAAATTATAGAGATTTGCAGTTGTGCACGCATTGCGGAAAAACTACTGGATATATTTCAATTAGGTTTTCTAAGTTTTATTTCTTAGACACTTGGCCCTCATAAAAAAATTATTGCGATATCTTCATGTTTATTAATTAATATAAAGTTATTAAAGTTTTAAAAAACAACGATTTTTAATCGGAGTATTTCACATGGTCAACTGTACGTCGCTTGCTTTCGCGTTATAGAGCAACGAATAGCATTGTTTATAAAGAAATTTTGTAAGCAAATTATATTTTCACTTGCGATATTTTTGATGTTTCTTTTTACTTCGCATGAAGTTACGGGTATCAGCTAGTATAAAGTAAATCCTGACTTAAAAGATCTAAAAATAATAAAATCCGAGTAAATTTATATACTGAAGTCGGTGCTAAGGCATAGTTTAAAGAACAACAATGAAAGCCCCGACTATATAGTGCGAAATTATTTTATTCTTGTTAGTTATTTCACGTCGGCTTTAGCTTTATAAAGTAATTTTTTACCATTTTGAGTGGACTAAAGGCTAAAATCACAATCTCAATGTTACATTTAAAAACTTGATCATTTGAGGTGGATTTTTTTCCAAATTTATAATATGGTATAATCCCTAAAGTATAAACTATTTCATATAAAAAATCAATAAAATCAGTTTACAATTGATGGAGATATCGTATAACATGCATACAAAAGCATACAGTTGAATAGTAAGCCACATTTTTTAAGTCGGAGATAATAATATATATAATAATAACAGATTGAGATGAAAGATGGAAATGAGACTCAATCATTACTCCAATGGACTCCATTGAAAGAGCACAACGGTCAAATACTCGCATGCAGAGCGGAACACACAAAGTTCAATCAGTCAACGATTGAAAGTCGATTGAATCTTAATATATACTGTAAGTGCTACTGCAGATTACTTTTACCAGTATCAAAATATATCAAAATGTAATATAGTTGCTTTCATTTTAAAAACATAAAGTGTACCTACTGTCAATTTTGTCCATGATGCAGTGTCAGTGTAAGAATATCCACTACCCTATATTGTCCCGTGGGTGTCCTAAGAGGTGAAAGAGGGAAAAAATCAGGAGATAGGCGGCAGCGTCTTCCTAATAACAATTAAAAATAAAAAAAATATACTGCGGTTACCAACTCGAAATCTATGGGGAGGCTTATGTTCAACAGTGGAACTAAATAGGCTATAACGGTAAAATATATCGACAGTAACAGACCAATGCTGAAAATAGGCCTCTACATCTGCTTTATAGGGACAGGGGTATATATACATTAGTTTCCACACTTGGTAGGCGGATTGGCGACAGCAGTTTCTTTTTTCTAGCTTACATTAGTAAGATGCTGCTCCATATCTCCTGGTTTGCTTCAATCTGTCACCTCTTACGATACCCTTGGGTCGATATATAGTGGGATATTCTTACACCAACACTATATCATAGAGAAAATTTAAAATATAGTTGATGTTAATAAAATTGAGGTAACAAGTTGCTCAATAATTCAACGATACTATAACTTAATATGAAAATTATTGAATAAATAAAAAATATGTTTTGCAATTTCCGATTTAGTGCAAAAACTAAAATATTAGCCCTATATTTTTAGTCATAAAAATTATTAAAACCATTATTTAAAAATTAAATTATCCTTAAAATTATTTTATACCAATGAAAAAAATCAATCATTTATCAATATTTAATGCAATAACTAATGCAATAAATATTATTTGATAAAAAATGAAGACAGTAAAATGCCGCAGGTACTGGAAATATTAAAGCACTCATATGTCCAAAGCTACTCACAAGCGACAAGATCATATATTTCACAGAAAGAAAGAAGAAAGAAATATATTTATTAGTGGTTTGAGGATGCGACATATGTTGTAGTTTTTGCAATCTGCCCACACATCGCGCGACGCGAAAGCGAGAATGGTTCGCAATCGAAACGGTGACTATGAGAACATTAATCGAAATCGTGGTTAGATTTTCTAAAAAAGCTTTTTATAAGCTGTATGTATTTTTATGTATGTTTATTTGTTATGTTACCATTTTCTGAGCGTCTGAATAACCTGAAATTTGCAGGCGATCATTAAAGCATGTGATGATTGATTGTCGTTTTCTTTACGCTATTTACATAATTATAATATTAATACATTCTTTTAAATTACAAATAATATCATAATGATAAGAGCACGCACCAGAGTTACACAGTCGCAATTAAAATCGGAAAAACAAAACAATACGACGTTTTGCACAAATATGTCGACAATGGTTATGATTCGACCCAGGAGCTAGTTACTCTGATCTGTATACTGATCCACGCGGTTTCCGGTAATAAGCTAATGAAATTGATAATTCTTACTTAGCTTATATATGTATTATTTTACGAAACTCTGCGATATTTTAATTTTGAACTTACGTTGCCATTTTTTTCAATAAATAATTATTACAATTTGACACAGATATACCAATCGCCACAATGCACTTTAGTACAAAAATCAATCCGAACGATATTGAAGAAGGCGATGATGTGTATTTTGGATGCGAGGTCGACGCAAACCCGCCCGCCTATAAAGTAGTCTGGGAACACAACGTAAGTGGCTTTTTTCTGCTTGTAATGGGTGATCGATATCCATATTTAGCAAGTAGTAGCACATTATATTGTTCATAACAAGTCTATAGAAATGATTTATAATTTTTTATATTATTACATATTACTGAGGTAAACATGTATTATTTTATAATATTTTTCAAAAGTGCTTAAAAGAATTCTCCACTTTCATTTATCAATTACTGTATCCTCCTCCTCCTAACCTGTTCTTTAATCGCTAGCAAGTGGTGAATCCGATCCTAATATTGTAATAATTAAAATTACTGTGGTGCTGATGAAAATTTATGTAGGTTTGTTCGCTTACTATAAAATTTAAGGTCTGCGTTCAGCCACTTAACTACTACGTAGGTCACTCAATAAGTTTTGAGATGCTCGAAATATAAAAATGGAACGCGCCCGTGTTATACTTTTCTAAAAAGCAAATTTATTTTAAAATGAAATTCCATAAGCCAATTGCTCTATATTAAAAAAAAAACAAAGTTCTATTAATTTTCCTGCGACGCTTCCTGCACTTTTCATCTAGAACGATGGATCTTAACCGTGAACATTTGCGCGCTTTGATATTTATAATTTAAATCTGGTTTAACCGAATAATTAAGTTTACAACGGTTACAATCAGCATTAGGGGACTCAGCTCCATCACGCGGAATATTCTTTAGGTACACAAGATAGGTTAAATTTAGGTTACATAATAGGTTACTTAAGGTTAATGTAACAATTTTTTCTAAAGGGGTTAAATTAATCTTAAAGATTACCAAAGAACCGGGGCCCCGCAAACAGCAGTAACGGCAGAAAATGAATGGACTACTGAAATGTTGATGCGAGAAGACCTACGAATCACATATACGGACATCGAAAAGATCGTAGGCATTAGTTCGGGAAGCATTCGTACCGTCCTACATCAACATCTTGGAGTGAGGAAGCTTTGTTGTCGTTGGATCCCTCGTTTGCTCTCCGAAAGCGAAAAACAGACTTGTGTGGATTGGTGCCATGAAATTGTGTTTCAGAAATCGTTACTGGTGACGAGATATGGATATATCAATATAATCTGGAACATAAAAGGCAATAATCGGTATAGGTCTACTCAGAAGGACAATTACCGACAAAACTGCAAAGACTTCGCAACGTCGGCAAAAAATGGTGGCTAGTTTTTTTTTTCGCGGAGCGGACATTTGTTGTCGTCAATGCTGGATAATTGTAGGTCAGTCAACTCTGAATGGTATACTACAGTTGCATTACCCAAAGCTTTTCAAGCTGTGTAGGAGAGAAAACTAAAGTCCAAGCTTCGCAGAATCATGCTGCATCACGATAACGCCTCTTCACATACCTCCCTCAGAACAAAAGCATTTATTGAGGAATCTGGTGTCAAAACTTTAAGTCACCTACCCAACAGCCCTGACTTAGCCACTTGTGATTTTTTTTTGTTCCAAAGAGTGGAAGAAAAAATAAAAGGCAAGTTTTTTTCAAGCGCCAAAGAAGCCGTGGCTATCTACGAAGAAGCGATTTCCAATCTGTCAGATCAAGACTGGAAAAATTATTTTCAGAGTTGGTTTAGGCAAATACAACTTTGTATAGAGCATGATGGAAAATATTTTGAAAAGATGTAAAATAAATATTAATACTCATCTCAAACATACTATCTCAAAACATATTGAGTGACCTACGCATAATTAAAAAAAACCATTGTAATATTTATTTTATTAAAAAAAACAACAAAAAAAAACTTTGATCATATTTTTTATTTAATTAATACAACCGTGCGCATGTTTCCTACAACACTTTATTTTATTGTGAATATAGTAAAAAGAAACGTTTATAAATAATATGTTTAAATTGTTTTGAAGTGGGTTAAAAGTTTTTTATTTTACAGGATGTTTTATTGCAAAATAATCTATCCAATGGCGTTATACTAAAGGGTTATACGAACCTCGCATTACGTAACGTTTCCAGACATCAAGCGGGGAAATATACTTGTACTGCATCAAACGTGGAGGGCGATAGAAAGTCGCCTCCTTTACACCTGCAAATTGTTTGTAAGTGGATTACGTCTACATTTTCACATTGACTACACATTGTAAAAGGAATCTTAAAGCCAAAAACATTAAGAAAGTATCATGTTGATGGCCTTGTAAGTGAATAATTTGATATATTAAGAAGTCTACATTTAAAATATTTTTCTATTGATGAGCTATATTGATGATTATAATTATATTATATTGTTTCAACTTTAGCTGAAACTTTGACAATTACATTTTTTAATTATATCAAATTTGTTTTAAATTAAAAAATAATGTATTGTAAATATAAAATAAAATAGTTTTTATAATTTTATTTTAAATAAAATGTTACTGAGGATTTATGACTGTATACTGAGGCATACATTTTAAATAATTACAATAATAGACTCGTAATCTCAAAAAAAACTTAGGAAACTTTAGTGGATCATTTATTATATTAATACTAAAATTGTTGTTTAAGGTATATTAATAACAGAATTTTAAATCAGTTGAGTCTAGCAAAGTTTGCAATATCAATAACTCGTCAACGGCAATTAAATTGATTACTTTCTTTATAGATAAACCATTGTGTCGAAGAAATGAGATTCAATTGATAAGCGCCGCATTACAAGAACCATCAATCATAGAATGTGAAGTCGATGGTTTTCCTCCACCGGACACATTTCAGTGGACATTTAACAACTCCGCTGGTTCAATAAAGATCGATTCCGTAAGTTAACAATATAAGACATATATTTTAAAAGCAATTGTATACTCATTTAGTTTTCTTTTGGCTTAATAATTATTACAGTATCGATCCCCTATAATATCACAGTCATAATGAAGAAAATAAATTTTGAATAAAGTAATAGTTGCAATAGCATTTTTGTAATAATACAACCTGCCACCCACTTGCCAAGCGTAGCAACTATACCACTATATCCCTCTTGTGGGATAATATATGGGGGAGACTTATGTTCATAATATACAAAGTCGCATAATCTGGGAGCACGGCAGTGCCCCCGGCAAGTCGAGCAAAAAAGTGGCACGGCCGTACCATCCTTTTCTCGAAGCAGTTCAGGCCATTTTCGAAACCCTATAACTTCGTTGTGAATAAAACTAGATGCCTGAATTCATTCAGTAACCAAGTAGGAAATGTATAAACTCAGTAAATTTTAAATTTCATTAAATTTGAATCATGAGTTAAAGAATTATAACTGGTCAAAGTTTCTTAATTTTGTCACTCACTGACTGACCGATCATCAAAACTCTAAGGCACTTTTAGCAGACGTAGAAGCTTCAAATTTGGAATACAATTATTGCTTAGTATATAAATCAAGGAAAAATTAAAATATTTTGCAGTTTCAGTCCGGTTTTCGAGATACACCAACTGCATAAATAACATTTAATTAAAAAAATCTCAATAACTGTTCATTTAATCCACAAAGAAAAAATACAGAGTAGCAGAAGAGGATTTGGTCAATGTTTTTAATTGAACAAAATTGTATATTTGTCAACCCCTTATTAGAAAAAAATCCCCAAAGAGTACCTATCTTTGTCATATTCTGCAAAATTTCTTCAAAACGGCACAAGCTTTTTAAATAGTTCTTAAACTAAAAAAAAGTTCTTAAAAATATTAATATTTTTAATTGACAGTTTTATTTTTATTCCCCGTTTTATAAGAGAATATATCATTTTTCCCTGAAATTGAATATATTTACGCGAGCGGGCATGCTCCGTCGCCCTGTCGCAGTCCGTTTTCGGAAATCGTCGAGGGTGGACCGCGCGTCTAATATTAGCTTTTTAAAGTATATACTCAATTGCAAATATTTTTATGACTAGAAATACTTAATTTAGTTAATATCTGTACACTGGTAACTGTAAATATTATTTTCTCAATAAATTAATTTTTAAAGTGCCCCAAGAAGAAGAAATTTTCGCGGCGACGTTGATTAGTGAAATTGTACCTATGTAATTTTATTGTTGCGTATTTTTATTAATTACTTGATACTGAATATTATAATTATGTATTACAATAAAACGCTGTTTTTATGAGTATGACTTTATAAAATATTATTGGGGAGGGAAATATAGATACAGATACTTACATTTAGGTACACTGTTATCAAATTAAATCAAATAATTTAAATAAATAAAAAAATTATGCTTCCCTTAGTATAAATAACTATATAAAGACATTCTTGGGTTTATGGTTTTATTTTTATGTTAGACAAACTATCATCTAAAAAATGTAAAAATTTTAAATTGGAGAGGGGTTTCTCTACGTGATAAAGTTAGAAATGAAGATATTCGCAGTAGAACCAGAGTAACTGACATAGCCCAACGGAATATTAAAGTGAAATGGCAATGGGCTGGCTATATAACTTGAAAAACCGATAAAAAATAGGAAGAAAGGTTCTCGAGTGACAAACTCGTACAGGTAAGCGAAGTAGTACTCAACCTTTATTCCTCGTTACGAATTCTCATACGCTTTTCTTCACACATATACACACACACACACACACACACACACACACACACACACACACACACACAAATAGGTCGCAAATAATACTTACCTAGTACTATTAGGCAAGAGTTAATAGGTTTTTGTTAAGTCAGTGCAATTCACCATCTTATGCTACATAACCACTTACCGATGGGATTTTAGTTGCTTTACCACTTGCTGGGTAAAATAGTAAAAAAAAATTACCCTGTAAAAGTCTGTATTTAGATATATTTTTCTATATCTTCCATTATCTACGCATGAAAACTTTTAAAAATCTCTGAATCCCATACGTACGTCCATATTAAGAGGATGAATAGAGCCACATTGCTATGCATGAGGATCGTTTTGTAATTTCACGTCGTTATCGAAAAAAAATTGTACGTATTTCAGGTGGCGGTTTGCAAAACACGGTTGAACAAAAATTCACTCAATAGAAAATAATTGCAAAGTTGCTTCTGAAAATACTTAAATTTTCAACGTCAATTTTTTCTTACGTGGTAGAGCCATGCTGCAGCTATATTAGTAGTAGGTATAGTTGTAGCACGAATGGGTCGGCTCGACCGGGGAAGGGCCACGCTCTCACAGAATACCATGTAAAATAGTAGTTTAACCCTGCTGTGTTTAGTATAGTTAGTGTAGAGAACTGGAGGACCTTTTTACTGGAAACGAGGCATTACATCTTAGTCCTCACGGTTGACAACGCATCTACATTTTGATACGTAATCGAGAATAGATATAGATGTCTATGGGCCGTAGCATCCACTTACCATCACGTGGACTGTGTGCTCGTTTGTCACCCTTCTTCTATTAAATAAAAAACTTTCTAAGATTTCAGTAAAATAATGTTAAGTATTGTAAGCACTCGTACAATTATGTGTCTCATGTTAATAAAGCTATTGGGCTATTTGAATTTTTAATAAAGTGATTTACTTTATAGGTTAAATAATTTATTTACCCCTCTATATCAAGAACCGTTTTTTTCTGTCACTCCTATTAAATTTGACAGTGCTTGCTAAAATTAAGCATCTTTAGAAGGATCAGAATCGCGCTCTGATCCGGCTGTTAGATATTGCAAAAATAATCGAAAATATTTATTTTTACTTTCATGCCGAAGACTACCTTGTTTTATTTTATTACGGTCAAATAATATTTATTAGGTAATAAAGCAAGTATTTACAAATGTTTTCATTATTTTGTTATACTATTGTTTACAGTTATTATCACGTCTTAGCTTTACACCAAGAATTACATTAGAAATTCTTGATGGGATGCGATGTAATCATACTTATTTTACATACATTACATAATTATTTTCATCAAGAACTATAATATATACATATTTATTTATTTTTACCAGTAGAGTTTTAACACAATCTTAAAAAAGATCAATGAATTAAAAAATGCCGATAATTTTATAATTTCAAGTCAGTGTTTTACATTTAAAGATCAGTTATAAAGAGCCAAAGTTCTTATTTTAATTTTGATTCATTTAATACGAGACTAAAATAAATGTGAAAGGGCTTTTATCTGCAATAATAATTTTCATGAAAAATAATATATACTTATAAAAGTCATATACACGGTTAATCATACTGAAGGTTATCATTTGTACTACAAAATATTTAAAAGACTATTTCCAGTATAATGACCCGAATATCATCATTAATGTTTGACTGGCACACTTAAAAGTTTTATCACATGGCTAAATAATTGACTTTTATATTATGACAAGTTCAGTTCATTTAAATTTTAAATCACGGACCTATTGGTTTGTTTAACTTTTCAATTAATTAGTGAAAAACAATATGAACTGATCTAAAAGTTTATTTTCTTGTGTTAAAAGTGCTATTTAGAATTTTATGTAAATGATAATTAAAGTTTCTATGAAAATAAGTGTAACATAGCGGGTATTAAAATTCAATGGTAGCGGCCATCCATATTTGCAAAGCCAGCATCATTTTCTGTACAGAAACTGACAAAGTGTTGCTCAAGGCACTATAAACAAAGCAGCTGATAAAAATGTTACACTCATAACTGTTAACAAAAACTGTTTCCGCAAATGGTCTTATAGATAATAATAACTATTCCGCCGTGTTATGTGCTGGAGCTATTATTGGAAGGAGAAGAGGTAGAATTTTGTTTTGGAAATGCGCAATCAATATTGTTCTGTCTGCAATTGAGCATAAAATAAAAAATAACTTCAGCCAAAGAGCATAACTGGCATTAAACTCAGACCCATCTATTGGTATGGAAAAAAATAATTTTAACCAGGTTTCAAAATTCAAAATTTATCATTACGTTTGGCAATGTTATAGTCAAAATACTAACTTGTTTTACGAAAACCATGTTATCGATACTGCTGTTGATGTTCAGCAGGGTGACCCTCTGGGTCCAGCACTTTTCAGTTTGGGAATTCAACCCTTTATTTCAAATTTGAAATCCAAGCTGAATGTCTGGTACCTAGACGACGGTACACTGGGAGGTAGAGCAGATGACGTCCTCAGTGATCTTACTCATATTTTTCGAAATTTTAAAAATATTGGCCTTGAACCAAATAGCAATAAATGTGAAATATTTTTTTTCAATAATTTATCTTCTTCTCATAGAGACAATTTAATTCAAAATTTTAATCATATTTGTCCAGGAATAAAAACTGTCAATACGGAATCACTATACCTGCTAGGTGCCCCGTTGTTTTTCGATAGTATTAAACCTGTTTTAAAAACCAAATTTGATCAGTTTTTAAACCACGTTGATAAATTGTATAAATTAAACCCCCACATAGCTCTTACTATTTTAAAATATTGTCTTCTTGTACCTAGATTTACATACTTACTCCGCTCGAGTCCAGTCTGGAAATGTTCGGATATTTTACAAGATATTGATAATAATCTTAAAATTGCTATAGAAAAAATTCTAAATTTAACTTTAAATACAACAGCCTGGGCTCAAGCTACTTTACCTATAAAATTTGGTGGCATTGGTGTGAGAAATCTTTCTAGCGTTGCATTGCCTGCTTTCCTTGCTTCCTTGCATAGTGTCAGTGACTTATGTAACATGATTTTAAATAATAAAGTAGACCTATGCTTTGCTACGGAAGCAGGGCAGACATGGCAAACGCTCTGTCCTGGTGAAAATATTCCACTGGAAGTTAACCAACAAAAACAGTGGGATATTCCGTTGGTACAGGGCGTGCAGAAGGATTTGTTTCATAATTTCCATAGTGACCAAGATAAGGCACGCCTTCTAGCTGTTTCGACTAAGGAATCTAGTCACTGGTTACATGCTTTACCATCAAGTAATCTCGGCACATTACTTGATAGGGAAATCTTGCGTATTTCCGTAGGAATCCGACTAGGAGCGGCGAATTGTCAACCCCATCAGTGCCCCTGTGGTAGCAGCGTCGACAAGTTTGGGCTCCACGGACTTTCATGTAAGAAAAGCGCTGGTAGGTTTTCACGACACAGTTCTTTGAACGATGTCATCCGAAGGGCTCTTGCCTCTATAAATGTTCCCTTGGTTTTAGAGCCTTGTGGAATATTTAGAGACGATGGCAAGAGACCCGACGGTATGACATTGGTCCCTTGGGAGAGAGGTAAAGCCCTAGTGTGGGATGCTACTTGCGTAGACACTCTGGCGGCCTCTCATCTCAGGGGTACCTCCTTTAAAGCCGGGGCGGCATCAGAGGCAGCTGAGCTAAGTAAGTGGCGCAAATATGAGTCTCTGAGAGATGACTACATATTTGTGCCATTTGCTGTAGAGACTATCGGTCCGTGGGGTCCACGTGCGGTGAAGTTCCTAAAGGAACTCCATCCGCGGCTGGTCGTTGCTGCTGGTGATAAGAGGGCTGGTTCTTTCCTTGCTCAAAGGCTAAGTATAGCCATTCAGCGGGGAAACGCAGCCAGCGTTCTTGGCACGATACCGCGGGGAGTAGGACTATATGATAATTAAGTTTCTAGTTTTAGTTTTTTTTTTATTATCATAGTTTTTAATATTGTAAATTCAAAACAACAAATATTAAAATCAAAAAATGTATATATGTATGTCTATACATACATATAATAATTTATGGCCGCTTAGTAACTGACAGTGACTCAGTATAACATTCTACAGTCAAGCCGAAACTAAGAGGAGAAAAGGTAATAATTTATTGCGGAAATTTTGTGATAAAATTAAAAAAAAAATACAAACTTATCCAACGTAATCTAACTAAGTCTAACTTATGCTTATGCGTTACAAAAAAAAACAAATAATAAAATAGTGAGATGGTGTCAGTTTTTAAGAAGATATAACAAAAATAAACAAAAAAATAAATTTCAAAAAAGTTCAGTATTTAATTGATTACACATACCGCTGACACTTAATCACGCTTTTCGAAACCACGCCAGCTGTAAACAATACTTGTGTGAAAAGACAAAATTTTCTTTTCAAATTTCCGCCGAGTTGTTAGTAGAAGGCCAAATAGGTCATGTGTCAATTTTAATAAAATATATTTTATATGAAGTGATCTTGACTAAGTTTCATCAATTAACCATTGGTAAAAATTAAAACAGGAATTTTACAATTGTGTTTACAAGAAACATTATTAGTTGAACCTTGCAGCTTGTTCATTATTTTTATTATAAATACTTATAAATGTATATATTATTAATAAATAGTTCCCATAATATTTTGTATTACTTTTTATTTTGCCCTATCTGCAATGTTCTACGCTTTATAGAAAATGTAGCGTATGACTTGACTGACTATCTCTCGAACGTTTTATCTAGGTACAAAGATGTTTTACATTTTCGTCGCATCCACATGATATTTTTGTCAGCATAAGGTACCTTTCTGTATCTGAAACGAATATGAATATTGCTACAAAGTAAAGTATAGGCTATACAAGTCCCTTTACTGGGCACAGGACTCTTTTTTTATTTCTGAGAGGGTTTTAGGGCAAGCAAATGCCCGCCGCGCTGCCCCAATGCGTGTTGACGAAAATTTCAATTACAAATTTCATTCGTGCTGTCGGGGATCAAACCCGGGAAAAATTTACAGCGAACGCTTACACCCAGATCTACTAATATGACACAAATAAATACGATTTAACATATATAATAAAAAAATCTTACGTACTTGAAATTTTCAACACTTGATAGCTCGTGACTCCTACCGGACAAAGCTAGAACACAATGTAATTGAAGATTCGTAACCGCAACATAATTCTCAGTGATGCGCAAGCATAACAGGCAGTATGTTACTTATATAATTGTCACCTCTACATTCTATTAATCTTTGCACTTTTATAAGTAATACAGAACGTAGTTGCTAGACGGTGTTGACGTCGGCTAAAATCTCTGCGATCGCCGTTTCGTCAAGGTCATTCAGGCTAGTTAAAGCCTTAAAACATAGAAGATTTTTAATATTGATATATTACGACTTTAAGCAACTAATACGACTGTGTTTCATCACTATCATTATAACAGCCTATCACAGGTTCATTGCGGAACATACTACTTTTCAAGACCATCTAACTGCTAACATTTAAACATTATTTAAAAATATTTGTTTTTCGTTTTATTTATTTACTAGCTGATACTCGGCGCGTTGCTGCCGTAGAAGAAATCATTGTGGAAATATTGTATTAAATTTGCAAGAGCTATATTATTTAATTAGGAATGATAATATATTCATTGAATATATAACTTTGAAATACATTTTTCGGTAAGACACGCACGCCACCTACTGTCAGTTCATAGTAATATGCCTATAACCTTCGCGGAAGTGGAAGCAATAAGTTGATAAAGTTTCAACGCAATCTGATGAACGGTATGGCAGCGCAAAAAATACTAACAAACAAATATAAATATTTATATATTCGATTTTAGAAATTTAAGTAACCGAGTTTTATTCAAAAAGGGCTTAGGTATATGGAATTAATAATATGCTCTGATAACAAAATTTGTATTGAAGCGTATCAAATCGAACGTAACTGGGCACGAAAATAGCAAACTTAATTATCTTTAGGGTTGGCAACGTGTAATTGTCTCCCCTAAGGGTACGTAAGGTCGTCCGTTTTTACACGATATTAGGTGGTTATTATATTACAAGAGCTGGCATCACATTTTGAGCACGGATTTGACCCATCTAGTTATATAGCTTAAAAGTGTCGTTTACGAAAGTTAGATTGGGAATGACTAGTCTACATGGCATGTCCCGGTGGGACAGTATAGTGACTGCAGTAGCTACTTGACATTAGGTTTTGGGTTTATTATCAGTTTTATAAAAAAATACGTAGCAGTTTCAATTTTCTACAGTATTCTAATGGTTAAGTATGCGGACTACAAACTCGGAAAGTAGTGGTTTCGAATCCACCATCAACTACTGTCATGACGTCGACGTGTCGTATGTTATGTCGAACGTCGTGTCGTGTGTTTAACAAGCATTTTAATTTTAAGTGCTGACAGACAGCATGAATCACTAATATTCTTTTTTTTATTGTTTCGGTCCAAATTTCTTTGTTTTATTCACAAAGTGATTTCAAAATATGTTTTTTTTTATAGGATAAGAGTGACAAACGAGCACACAGTCCACCTGATGGTAAGTGGTTGCTGCGGCCCATAGACATCTACATCTATCCTCGTTTGCGAATCAAAATGCAGATGCGTTGTCACCCGTGAGGTCTAAGATGAAATGCCTCATTTCCAGTAAAAAAGGCCTCCGGCCACCTGCACTCACCAAGCGAAACGCAGAGGTAAACCTCTACTTCACGCTGGTATTCTGTGAGGTCGTGGTACCACCCCGGTTCGAGCCGGCCCATCCATGCGACAGCAAAAGATGCCGCGTGTATATGTATATAATATGATTTTGTACGAAAACAGAAATGAATATATTGTATATTCATTTCTGTGTTGTTGTATATTCATTTTGTTTATACGTGGTAGAGCCATGCTGCAGCTATATCAGTAGTATAGTTATAGCACGAATGGGTCGGCTCGACCAGGGAATACCACGCTCTCACAGAATACCAACGTAAAATGGCAGATTAACACTGCTGTGTTTCGTATGGTGAGTGTAGAGAACCGGCGACCTTTTTTATTGGGAAGAAAGGCATTCCATCTTAGTCCTCACGGGTGACAACGCATCTGCATTTTGATTTGCAAACGAGGAGAAATGTTGATGTCTATGGGCCACAGCATTTACTTACCATCAGGTGGACTGAGTGCTCGTTTCTCACTCTATCCTATAAAAATATGAAAATGCGATAACTTATTACACTTAATGTTGATTGAATGTTAGGTTTCATAATTTGAACTATTCTCGTTCGGCTGTCTAATTTTAAATAATTTTATTCCCAGGACCGATTCTCAATAGACGCAAGTGCAGGCAAATCGGTACTGACATACCTTCCAGTATCCGAAATCGATTACGGAACTGTATATTGCCGTGCAACAAACTTAGCCGGGCAGCAAATCTCACCATGCGTATACACTTTACTACCAGCCACAAAGAACGACCCACCGACTAACTGTACAGTTTATAATCATACGCATGATTCACTTGATCTAATGTGTTTAGCAGGTATGTACATTGATGTTGTACCTTTTTGTCTCAAATATTTTTGAAATATGTTGTATTTCGATAATCCCTTTCATAAAGTAATATTTTTTTAGTTTAATAATTTTTCTTTATTTTAATTTGAACCATTATTTGCCTTATTACAAAAAGCAATATAAATATTTCAATAAAGAAGTACAGTGAAAAATATATGAACTATAATGTAACGTAAAGAATTTGTAAGTAAATGTCTACTTTCGCGAAGACCGTGGCGTCGTTGCTAAAGGAATTGTTAAATGACAAAACTTTTCTCAAAAACCGTTAATCGGTAAATCAGCCACGCTTTATAATAATACCGTATGCCAAATAAAAAAATATATGTATATTATCTGGGATAGGTTTTTGGGTCGTCAGTATTAATTTTTCATATGAAATTCTGAGCTCGATATACGTTCAGGAGTCAATATTTTTGGGGGTATGATAGTAAATAAATGAATTATAAGCAAAGTTGAACATTTCCAATGACTATAATACAAATACCCAAAAGTGAGAATAGAAGAAAATTTTAACGTTATTAAAATTAATGTCGTATGCATTTGTATCATTTGTAGAATGAAACGTTCTCATTTTATATACAACAATGAGGATATATTCCCCCAACATTTTCGTTTATACTACTATATTGCCCTTATTAACAAACATTCTAATTTACTGTCTGGTCTCATTTGGCAACGCCCCAGTTTACAGCTTCTATTAATTATTCTAAATTATCATCGTTATTGTCAGTTCTCTATGTTTCTACACAATTTAGATTGTTTATTTTCATACCCAATTGATTACTCGGTAAAGTACCTCATGCAAAAATGACATTAAAGCGCTTGGAAAAATAAAATTAATGTCTAAAAGAACATGCATTTCACAAAAATAAATGTTATTATAATTATTTTATTTGATATATTTAATAAATGTGAAGATGGCCTCCAATGTATTTTTGTGGCAGAAATGTGGGCTAATGGTGCTGCGTTATAGAATCTAAGAAAACTGGAAGGAGCTAAGAGACAACTAAAGTTATTGTATGTGCAGTAAATGCAAGGGCACGATCAGATTATGTCGAGTTCACGTTAGGAATAGCGCCTAGATTGTTTCCGAGAACTGGTACGACTTAAGAAGTTAATGAAAACCTTTTCCATCTTACTTTGCTCCTTTAGCTCATAATGCTTTATGGTACTTCGACATGATTTTGGTCACATTTCATTTCGCTTTATTTTCAAATAGTAAGACAGATTCACATGTAGTTACTTTATTACATTTAATCCTAAATGGCAATTTTAAATTAACTTAAAAATATATAAATTGAATGATGGCTCAAAACATAATTAAAAGACAGTTTTAATCCTAAACTTAAGCACAAGAATCGTGGGAGGTAAACTGGGCAGTGGGAGGAGTATTGGGAGCGGCATGCACTGTAGCACTTATTTTGTGCTTAGCACTCAACGCTACAAGATTAAGGCACAGGTCGCGTAACTACGAAGGTTGGTGTATTTACTTTATCGTCATTTATATGTTTATTAGACAAAGAGAATTGAGAATAGAAACCGTTCATTGTAACAATGTCTTAATTGTGATTAATCTGTCATTGAATCGAATAATTGAATGTCGCATAATTTTTGTGACAGTTACAAAGGAAGTATCGAAAAATCAAAAGAATACGCCGCAGAAACGGCAATCTTCAGATGATCGAAATCCTGATTTAATCCCACTTAATAAAGGTAATTAAAACTTTGACATTTGCTGTTATTTTGGCTCATTATATTTTAATCTACATACCAATTTATCAGTTATATTTGGATATATTAAAATAAATGAAATTCTTTACAAGTTATTGTAATCACACACCTACTAATTTTTATAGTTTCTTAGATAATAATTTAATCAATCCAATAGGAGTAGATTGTCCACCTGATCCTCCCCACTACTCAACTGTTGTCAAAAAACAAGAGGCTAAGAATTCGAACGGTGCTCACAGCTTAGCAAGCACTCAAACATCAAGTAATCCATTATCACCACTAAGCCATCATTCGGAATGTCAGGTTAGCATTTTGCTTAATCGACATTTTAATTAATCCTTTTTTTTCTTTAATGTTTAACGTTATTAATTAGTTGTCATAACTATAAACAGTTGTATTATAGTGTGTACTAAGGATTACGATGAACTTTATATATCACTCTTTAGAGTTATAGTAAAGAAAGGAAATTTAAATGAGATTTTCACTTTACTTATTATTTCTATATATATATATATATATATAATTTGGACGACAAAAATGGAAACGACTGAAGAGATTTATTTTAATAATTCTTCTTTTATCGAATATGTTAAACTTCAGGTAATAAAAATATTTCAAAGAAATTTGAAATCAGCCAACACGTACTGAAGCAGTGTGACAGATATTTAGCTCTACAACCCTCTCGGAAATGGAAGAGGAGGCCTGTGAGGCAATGGGGCGAATATATTATGCTGTAACTTTATTTATGTTTGAAATTGAAGTATCTGAAAATTTTCATCGTGTTATTTCGCCTAATAATTTATGACTATGAGAAAAAAATTTATAAACTAACATGTTAGTGTGTAAGTCAGTTTAGTTTCATTCCTATATTCTAATTTATTCTAAATTTGCATTTATTTTAAAATTCAAAACTTGTTTCAATTACCGTGAAAAGTTTAACGTGGTTCAGTTAAATAGCATAAATTATTTATGTAGCAATTTCATCCAAGCACAAGTCCTGCATTTCAACAACTTCGATCATGAAATTGAATGATGGAAAAGTTGAAGCTGTTTTATTAAACAGAAATGAGCAGAGACACGGTCTAGAATTAGAACTGTTTTTATTTAAAAATTAAAACTACTACTATAACGTACAAGCAGAAATAGGTTAAGTCGGTTTATTCAAATGCGGAAGCACGCTTCAAAAATACTAATAAAGAAGTTGTCTACTAAATTATCGATCGGTTAGGTTTGCACGCCAATTAATATTTGAGGTGAAATATTAAAAAAAGTAACATTAATTGTAAATAGTCAAAAAAGTTTCAAACAAACATGTTTTTCCATGAAAAACTGGAACAAGAAGGATGTTCTCAATTAGAGTGCATATTCTTTTAAATATATTTTACTCAATATTTTCGTCAGTTGTGAACCGATTTTGATGATTATTTTTACTGAATAGATTACAATAGCCACACTTCATAGGTGGTCATTTAAATTTGATGAAAAAATTCCACCTCTAAGGGTTAGAAAATAGCGAGTAATAAGTTTTTATTGCACCTAATTTTTTAGATGACATTCTAGCCGTTATTTTGAGCTTGTGATATTCCTTGTCACTATGTCTTAGTCACTTCAGAATATAAAGTTATTTTAATCTAAAAGCAGACTTCAAAAAATTATCTTGGATGTGGGCTTTTTTAATTTATGTTTAACTTTTAATCTATTACTTCAACGAGTGTTAGTTGTGGTGGCACTAGGAAATCCATTAGCATATCTCAACCCTTGAATAGCAAATGTTGACTTAGAATAAGCGGAAGATCTTCCATAATACTTCTGTGGAAAAGTGATGATATAACCAAATTTATATAAATAGTACATAAACACATTCATAGACACGACTAAGACTACGGACTTCCATTTGGCATGATCCTGACACGCCTATTTCACCTCCTCCAAATCCATGTACTTACGCATACATGCTTGTCAGTTAAATGTACTCTTAATTTGACCCATTTTTAATATATTACCTGCCAATTTGGTACATAAACTTTCACATAGGGCTTCCCTTTCAGACTCGGCCGTCCAATTCTACAATATAAATTTGCTGTCACTCTTTCTTCGTTCAGTCTTTCTAGATGACAAAACCACTGAAGCATTCCTTTGTCAATCCTGGTCACAACTTCATCTTGTAGACCAATCTCTTCTCTTATAACACGATTTCTCACCCTTTCACTTAGATTCAGCCTAAATATAATCCTCAATGACCGCATTTCTACAGCATTTATTCTGCTTTCGTACTACATCTGCTACACTCAACTTTCACTAGTATACTTTAAAGTAGGAACTAACACAGCACTGTGAATTTCCATACGTACTTTTTTGATACATACTGACTTTCCACAATAGAGTGTAGAACACCTTTTACTCTATTTCCTGCTATAAAAGCTTTTAAAAAGTTACTTCGCAAACATCCGCTCTATAAAATAAAATTATGTGTCTTACCTAGTATGAAGAGCACGTCCCGGCCTCCCTCAATTGCGGTCACTTAACGGTCAGCCAAAGTAGAGTCTACATTACCTAAGGATGCCTCGTGTAGAGGCGAAACACGTGTCGTATTGTCGTCAGTGGTGTGTCTTTTCTAGTGTAGTGGTGTTGGGAGTAGTGGTGCTGGGATTAGTGGTGACGGGGATAGTGCACGCAATTGAGGGAGGGTGGGAGGTACTCTTCATAGGTAAGACACATCATTTTATTTTATAGAGCGAATGTTTGCGAAGTAACTTTTTAAAAGCTTTAATATAATGGATTTCCGCAAAGTAACGCCTGATTCCATTAATTATATTTCCTGCGTTCACTCATCGTTCTATATCCTCATCATATCTACCATTCCTGCTAAATACACATCCCAAATACACAAAATTTCTTCTTACTTTCTTCTCTTTCAAAAACCATCACTTTCATATTACTTGCGTTCACTTTCATTCACCTTTTTTTTAAAGGCTTGTTCATTAATGTAACCATCATTTGCAACTCCGCCGCCGATGACGCAAATATGACTTGATCATCAGCTTACAAAAGGAATTTGACGGTTAAGTCACCCATTCCACACCGGTATTGTTCACCTTTCAAATTGTCCAACTTTCAACTGTCCATAAATAGGTTACACAGACAGGGGGAAGCCAAACAGCCCTGTCCGATACATTTATGGATGCCAAACTAGTCAGAGTAGGCCTCTTTGATCCTGACACACACAAGGACTAGAGTCCAGCGTTCAACCCAAATGAGTTCAGTGTTTGCCATAACATATACCTGTCCACTTTATCATAATCCCCTTCCAAGTCTATGAACTCAGAAAAAATTTTTGGTTTTTGACCAAAAACTCCGCGATCATGCCTATGGAAAAAAAAGAATTGGTCCCCAATACACCCATTCCCTTTCTAAATATAACATGAATTAAACAAGGTGTACATCAGGCCCGCCACCACTCCTTCTCCAGCCCTTACCATTTCGAGTGGTATTCCATTATATCCGGCTGCCTTACTTACTTTTCATTCCTTCCGTCTCTTAAAACTCAAATCTTCGTCACTCACAATACAGGCATTATAGCCTCATGTAGCATTAATTTTAGGCTGTTTTGAATTTCCTCTAGCAGTTCTTACGAGTTTCTAGAAAATTTTAATCTTTGCCTAGGAGTTAAATGATTTTTTTTCATTCATTACAGCCCTTCACAAGTCCACTGCTGAACATAGGCCTCCCCCAAAGAATGCCACAAAGCACGGTCCTGAGCCTCCTGCATCCATCGACTTCCTGCATGTCTTACCAGGTCGTCACTCCATCTCGTGGGGGGACGCCCTACACTTCGCCTACCGGTACGAGGCTGCCACTCGCGAACCTTTCTTCCCCATCGGTTGTCGGTTCTTCGAGCTATATGGCCGGCCCACTGCCACTTCAGCTTACTAATCCGTTGGGCTATGTCGGTTACTCTGGTTCTACTGCAGATATCCTCATTCCTAAGTTTATCACGCAGAGAAACTCCGAGCATAGCCCTCTCCATAGCTCGCTGAGCGACCTTGAGCTTCCTCATACGGCCAGCAGTGAAGGACCACGTCTCAGTTCCGTAAGTCATCACTGGCAAGACGCACTGGTTGTACAATTTCGTTTTAAGGTTTTGAAGTATGTCTGACGAGAAGATGTGTCGTAGCTTCCCGAACGCTGCCCAGCCGAGTTGAATCCGTCGATTGACCTCTCGGTCGAAGTTGGACTTACCTAGTCGGACTATTTGTCCCAGGTAAACATACTCGTCAACAACTTCGAGCTTAGTGCTCCCAACAACTACCGGCATAGGTGTGACATGGACATTAAACATGATCTTTGTTTTGTCCATGTTCATCTTAAGACCTATCCGTTGGGAAACACTATTGAGGTCATTGAGCATAGTGCTTAGGTCCTCCAGCGATTCTGCCATAAGGACTATATCGTCGGCAAATCGAAGGTGAGTGATGTACTCGCCATTGATGTTGATACCGTATCCTTTCCAGTCCAGAAGCTTGAAAACGTCTTTCAATGCAGCGGTGAAGAGTTTCGGGGATATGACGTCACCCTGTCTTACATCTCTCTGCAATTGGATAGGTTTCGTACTCTGGTTCTGTACTCGGATAGCCATCGTAGCCCTACTGTACAAGCACTTCATCACTTCTATATACTGACAGTCAACTTGGCACCGCTGAAGGGACTGCAGCACCGCCCAAATTTCGACGGAATCAAAGGCTTTTTCATAGTCCATATACGCCAGACATAGTGGCAAATTGTACTCTTCGGACTTCTGTACAATTTGCCGAAGGGTATGTAATGAATTATATTAAATGATATTATCCTATAATTCTTATCCGTTCTTTCTTGATTTTATTTTCAACTACTTCTTTAACTCTCTCATTTAGATTTCTAAAGTGGCTTTTTAACACGATTTTATTACCTTGTTATATACTTATGTAACGGAACTTTTGAATGTGATTTTAATTCCCTTCAAAACGTCGGATTTATTTAAAACTTCGTACACGTATCATCGACCGATGACAATACAATAATTTAAATAGTTTGTCTCATTATCCTTGCCAGGATTTGCAGGATTTGGGAATAATTCATAAAACAACTACGATTACTGCCAATAAATTATATTGTTGGTAGGGTAAAAGAACTTCATTCCAAACAAAAACACACACTTTTGTAGTTATCCGCACTAAAAAAAAATAGAAAATAAATAATAATTTAAAAACTAAAAAAAACAAGTCTTTTAGATGACCGAACTAAAATTTAGAAAATAGTTTTCAATAAGTTTAAAGTAATATTTAAGAAAGCACTCGACACACGACGTTACAAACAGACACTCCAATTTTATTTATTTGTATAGATTATTTTCTACTTTTTAGTTCGGTTATCTACAAAAGCGTGTTTTTTTTTAGTTTTTTAAACTATTATTAATTTTTTTCTTTCAATATCATCATTCATACCGCCAGAATTCTTTCTCTTCTTTGCTTTTACTTCCATCCGTACCTCATTATCCCACGATGATTTATTATTTTTCCTTTCATTCGTTCTCTTACTTACACCACATAGCTACATCTAACAAACCTTTCTTAACATTATGCCACACAGTCTCCAAATGTAAATGATTAATATACAATTCATCTAAACCACTAATATTTAATCTCAGTCTACATTTGTGCTTCTCTTTAACACCTTCATCTGTTAACCTCTCTGTTCTTATACGCTGTAACGCAGTGGTAGATACAGATGTCCGATGCTGCCAACGCAACGTATAAATAGGTAATTTATTCGACATAAGAACAAGTAATGATCGGTATATGACGGTAAACCTTGTATTTACCACTGCACTCCTCATTCTTTCACCCACAATTGTGAAATCATGCTTCTATCGTCAGCTCTTTACCCGTCCATATACACGTGAATCTTCTTATAACGAAAGAAAGTGTTTGTCACAAAAATATTATTTTCCACACATACGATCATCACCATGCTCATTTATACTTTCATCACTAAACGTTCCAAATATCCTTTCACAATCAATCCTCTTCGCCAACCCTTTCATTAAAATGTCCAAATATAACAATATTTTCATTTCCCTTACATTTCATTAACACCGTCCTTACGATCTCCAAAAACTGCTCTCGAATATAAGTGGGCTTAAATATGTTTGAGACATAGACACCTAGAACAAAGAACTTTTTTAAACCCTCTTTCGTTCGTATCCACACAGTCTTGGGCTTACAAACTCATACTCTTTCACACATTGACCTTACACTTATCCTGAAAGCATGATACCGTTTCCCAGGCATGCCCGCTTGGTCTCGTCTACATCAGACCAATATGTTGTATACATGCCATGTGTAGTGGCATCCTTTCCCTTGTGTTTCGTCTCATTTACATATATCACATCTATTCCTCTGTCACACATCACATCGCATTTACTTTATATAAAGATACAGCATATATATGTCTCACTGCTAAGCACAGGGCTTCTCTCAATTCTCAATTTTGGACTTCACATATCGAAATTCACATAATTCGCATGTTAAAATATAAATATGACCTATGTTAAGCAGTACACTGGTTTTGAATAAATAAGTAAAAGGATTTTCAATATTGTAATAATTTTCATTTTAGGTTGACCGAAGTGCTATCAACGGCACGGCGAGATTGCACAGAGAGATTGTGACAACTAGAACACCTTTATTAGCAGCACATCAAGAAAGCTGTGTTTAATCTACTAATACTATTTTTTATTTTGATTCTTAAGGAACAAGAATTTAGAAAAAATATAATTTTTCAAACTATAACAAATTTATCATTTTCCCTATACAGAGATTTGAGGATAGACGAATTAAATTTCTGGCACTAAAAGACCCCCTAAATGTTGAGTAAATGGAAACTTGAAAGAAACTTTAGGGATCTTCTTGTTGGTTTTGTTTCGAAACAAATGGCGTTTGGAGACGTAATACGTGATAAGAAAAATCCCGTCAAGCGTAACCAAGATTTTCTTACATTTCTTAGATTGTATGACCAAAAATAATATGGTAAAAATTGATTTTCAATTTAAATAACAACTGTACTATTTCATAAAAGACTACAATTATTCATCTACTGATTTCTTATATTTACGTGAAGACTACACATTAAATGAAACTAATTTTTACGAACTTTATCGCGTTTAATTTAACTTTCTAATTCCCAACGTATCGGGTGCTTTACAGCACCCGTGGTCACGGGGGGAGGGGGGGGGTGGTATTTGACGTCCCGATGTCATATTTTATGTCATTTTAACAGTGGTAGAGCGTCTCTGCTATGGGCTGGCTTTGTTGAACAAAGACTAAGACTGGGGGCGACTAAATCTAGTCTAGTTCAATACCCAGAATACACATGTTTGCGCGTTTACCGCTAAAAAGAATCCCTTTGTCGTATCTCCTCAGTATCAAGGCACTCCCCTTGTTACCTCAGCCAGTATCGGTATCCTCGGTGTCGACATATCTAGTGACGTGCAGTTTCGTAGTCACTTGGAAGAGAAGGTCAAATTGGCCCCTAAAAAGCTTGGCGTGCTCAGCAGAGCGTGACAGTATTTCATGCGGGCGCACCACTTGCAGCTTTACAAGGCGCAGGTTCGGCCTAACATGGAATACTGTTCCCATCTCTAGGCAGCGGCTCCCCAATGCCAGCTCCTTCCACTTGACCGCATCCAGCGCAGAGCGGTTCGAATCGTCGACGACCGAGTTCTTTCCGATCGGTTTGACTCACTGGCACTGCATAGAGATATTGCATCTCTTTGCGTATTTTATCGCATCTACCACGGGGATTGCTCCGAGGAATTGGTCGGACTAATAACAGCCGCTCAATTTCACTATCGCACATCACGACAAAACTCGCGATACCATCCATATCATCTGGACGATTGTCGTTCCACCACTGTGCGATTCAGATGAAGTTTTCTCCTTCGCACAACTTCCTTGTGGAATCGATTACCACCAGCGATTTTTTCGGACCGATACGACTTAGGGACCTTCAAGAAAAGAGCCTACTCCTTTTTAAAAAGCTGGCAACTCATCTGAAATTCCCCTGGTTCCCCTGGTGTTGCAGTTGATCATGGGCGGCGGTTATCACTTACCATCAGGTGAGCCGCATGCTCGTTTGCCCCCTCTCAATATATAAAAAAAACGTCCAAATCAGATTTTAGTATACAACGCTTCCTACTAGAGTTTAACGCACATCATAGATAACATAATCTTCTCTGAGTAACACTGCGCATACGGCACAGATTGTACACTTATCATTGTACATTGTTCCTGAGGATTCTGGCAAGGATAATGGGACAAACTCTTTAAATTATCGCATTGTTGTCGGTCCTTAATAAGTGTGCGAAGTATTAAATCAATCCTTTGTTTTGAAGGGGATGAAAATCTCATCCAAATATTCCGTTAAATAGATACTAAGCTTTCAAAAGTGTGTTAAAATACTGAAACCCCATTCATGTCTTCAATATTCACCTGCACGAGACCCCTACATGTTCTCAACAGGCAAGAAATAAGTAAAGAATACTGAAGCCCCATTCATGACTTCAATATTCACCTGCATGAGACTCCTATATGTTCTGAACAGGCAAGAATAAATAAAGAATACTTAAGGGGGTCTTCATGTCTTCAATATTCATTTTCCTAATGAATGATTATGGAAATTAGTATAGTATATTGTGTTAAATAAAATATTATTTTTTCATAAATACAAAAATATCAGGATTATTTTTATAACTAAAATTATTTAATTATTAAATTATTTTATCTAGAACTAAATCAAACATATTATTTATTTCAAATCATTACATATGAAAGGAAGAAAATCATCATTGTAACACTAATAACAAATCATTTGTAATTATATACTTATTTATTCATCGGTATTACTGTTAAAACTTTGAGTATCCAACTCATAGCTTCGTTAATAAACCAACAAAAGATGAATTTTATCAACTGAAAATATACCACAAATATGTCTACCCTTGCGATATATTTTGCGGATGTGCTGTGCCTGATTCGACGCATCTTGTGGTTTTTGTCGATGGAGGTATGCGACATCACCACTAGGTGATGTCTGCTGGGGTTGTATGTGGGACCTTAGAATAGTGTCAGCCCGACAATAGTCGTATTGATTCTAGTTGCGTTCTGCAGAATTGCGTCTCTGCTATGGTTGTTAGAGTCGCTATTCTCAATGGCGCTCTCTACGTCTTGGTTTGGGTTGACTCACACTGAGGTAGCTCTGCCCAAGTCGGGTCCCTTGACGACGGAGCTGCAGACTGCCTGGCCTCCATAATGTTTTATATAACAACATAATACAATATCTCCGTAAAGTTCCCACCTTTGAATGATTGAAGGCAAGGCTTGTTGGTGGGTGATACAAACATGATCGAAAAATACACATACTCAACTTCAGTTACACAAACTCTTTCTGATGGCGCATTATTATTAGCCGTGTGCCTACCCACATTTAAAAGTGTGGGAGAGCGAGTACCTTGTATCGGGTATTTTTATATAAATGTTGTGAGCATTTCCAAGTGGGAACGGATTTATTATAAGGAATTGACTTATGTGAACCTGATACGAGGGGGAAAAATACGATTTAAAGTTTTTAACCTTTTTGAGCCGTTTATTTGTGAACCGGGTTCTATATTTAAAAATAATTTTAAGACTCTACCAACAACTTTTGTTTGCCCTAGTGAATATTCATTCTTCCAAGAGACACCTAAAATATCTAAGTTACTATACATATATAATGTAAATAAGCATCCTAACTAAGACGATCACGCCATAAATTTATTAAGTGGCCTGTAACTAAATCTAAAAGAGATATCTTTGGGAAAGTTCAATATAAATATATATATAATGGCCATTTCTTATTAGAAGGGGTGGTGCGTTACAAGAGGTTTGACATTTACTGAGTCAGAAGAGGCAGTGATGGCTTTCAAACAACACGTAAAAAACATGCCGTCAGACCAATGGCCCTTATGTCTTCAAAAATAGTTTGAATGAATGAAAAGTGTTGAAAATCTACTGGAGAATGCATAGAAAAGCAGTCAATGGGTACATTAATTTACATATTAATTGCTTTATTTACGAGTTACACAAAACTTCTTTGTACACCACATACTAAAAGTAGAGAGGGGCCTAAGAAAAGATGGATGGACTGTAATAGTTATGATATGCTTAAGAAAGGAGTGAGAAACGAGATGACGACTAATAGAAGAGAACATAAGAATACGATGTGCTATTCCGGAAAAACTTGGGTTAAGGTCAAGAAAAAGGAGGATTTTTCTTTTGCATCTAAATGACATAGTCTGAAAGAGACTACTTAAAGATTAAAGCTCTTTTTAGGATTCCGTACCACAAAATGATCACTTTTTAAACCCTTAAAGGATCACTTTTTCGTTTGTCCGCCCGTCAGTCTTGTTCCTTTTTTAGGAACTTAACCTAGGAAATAATTTAGAAATACTGTGGCGCGACGACAGCGCCGCTGTGGTGGGTGGAAGGAAAATGGGAGATCTCCGCTTTCCACCCACTCACTACAGTGGTAACCACCCGACGTGATATGAACACGCAACCAACAAACCTTCGGAAACTACACTTTCAAACCTTCATCATCCTCAAGTACCCCATTCATTCGCTTCCGAGCTGATATTGTTTGCAGTCTTCACATTGTGCAAGCCATCTAGATTTACAAAGCTTCATCGCAGCACTGGAATAATAATGCTTCCTGTTCCCTTAAGCTACTCTCTGCGCTACAGTGTTCGGCACGGCTCTAAGCCTTACTGCTCGCCTCTGCTTCACGGCAGTTTCGCAGATTATTTACCTTCTTCTCGACTCACCGCAGAGTACAAGGCAATCCCTGGCACTTGCTCCGGCTCATCATTCTCATCGGCATCACTTGCAAGTGCGTAGTATGGCATGCATTACACACCGGCATAACGATCGCACCGGCGTCACTTGCCCTTAGGCACACAGCATGCATTCCCCACCGGCACTAAGGACGCACCGGCAATCGGACTGCACTATCGACCTCCGGTCGGAGCAGGGGGATGATGTGGCGGCGCTGTCGTCGTGCCACAAGCGAAATATATCGAAGCCTAAATCGCGCTAACAAAGTTCCGAAGTTAAAGCAGTATATATAGAATAGCTCCGAACTACCACTCGGAGCGTTGGCCGCTCCCCGGGCAGAACACCTTGCCCGGCGGAAGATATCCCCTTTTCCTTCCTACGGCCACAATACCTACAGTCCCTTCCAGGTGTAAAAAATAAAACTGCTAATTCTACGTACGCAAAAGATAAGGCCATTAATTTAAGTCACATGTTTTAATACTCTGAAACTCACTTATCCAAACTAAAGGGTATTTTCCGTAGACCAAAAATCATGAAATTTTGCAAGAAAACAAGTATCACAGTAAAATAAAGAAAAAGAAAACTGAAATGTGATTAATTTGTACTTAATAAACGACAAAAATATTTCATAAAACTTTATAAAATTGCATTTGCAGTTTGAGCATCGACCATTCATCTAACTTATACGCACCTATACATGTATAAGTGAATATTTTCACTGTTAGGTTACGACATTCGTGTATTGGTATCGAAAACAAGCAAAAATCAATGAGACTCGATTTTATTTTATAGGATAGGGTGACAAACCTGCACACAGTCCGTCTGATGGTAAGTGGTTGCTGCGACCCATAGACATCTACATCTATTCTCAATAAAGAATCAAAATGCAGATGCGTTGGCACCCGTGAAGTCTAAGATG